CGAGGCAAACCTACACACAAAAGAATACAGCACGAGTTTCGCTGATGATGGGTAAAGGGCTTCGGGCTGTTTGGTTTTACTGATCAGTGCTGCTGTGATACTGCTGTTTGAACAGGACCACTGCCTGAGGGCTGGGAGCAGGCAGTGACCGCTCAGGGAGACACGTACTTCATTGACCACAAAACTCAGACCACATCCTGGTTTGACCCACGTCTGGATGCCCACCTCAGTAAGTACCATCTGGAGCTCTGTTGCACTGGCCCTGTTCACTGGTAAATTTACAGACCGAAGTTGCATAACAGACCAAGAGACCCAAATGCTGAAGATTTGGGTGTTCATTTTAGTATTGCTAAAGACTGCTTTAGCAATGTGTTATATACGTTCCTGAATAGTGGATTCAGCTCAGCTCAGTCAACCCAAGACTGAGAATCAACATTTACCCCTTTGATAACCTAAAGACACCAGACTGCATTTCCTTCGGCTCATATCTGGAGCCGCGGCTCCTGCGTGTTCCTGTGTTTGCCGGTCTGCCTGAATGCAGAAGGCCACTGGACTTATGTATGGAGACATCAAAGATTGAGACTTTACTCTGCTTTTCCTTTTCTGCCCTTCAGTGAGAGCTGGTGAAATTACCTCAGAAAGGTCTTAATTCACATCGTAACAGTTTGGCAAAGCCTTGAGGAGCAGTCAAATAAACAAACAAACAAGCAAGCGAACGAAAGATACAGGTGGTAGATATTCAACATCTTAGTGTACTGCTCCTATAATAGCTTATATTTGTCTCAAAATATCTTTAGAAGCAACTACTTATAACTGGGCCAACTGGAAAACTGTATGGGGCATTTGGAACAGAGGTAGAGAAGTTTTCCCAAGTTTTAAAAATAGTACTCATAGGTGTTTTTGGGATGTGGAATTAATAATATGTAATTGGCTGGGGAAATCGCAGCAGGTACCATGAGAAGCACCCAGGAAGATCTTCAATAAGCAATAGATCTTCATCCCAGTCAGAGTTCCAGTGTAAAATGAAGGACAGTCTTCCTTTTGCGCCTTGCACTGCTCACATGACGCTTCTGGGTTCAGTGCTTGCTCAGTGAAGTCAAAGACTCCCTGTCAGCAGCTGATCACCTTTAGCTTTTAATACGTTACAGTTTTTTAGGTCTGGAAAATGTCCCTTTGCAACTAAATCGGATAAGTAATACTCATTTCTGGGAAGTAGGTTAAACAATCGAGCCTGTGTTGGCAACTCAGCCAAAGTTCTCTCCCGCTGATCTACAACTGCTCGCACCAACTTTTTTTTTTTCCTCTCCTCTTTCATCCTCTCTCACTTTTTCTCCTTTTCCGTCTCTCTTCCCTCCTATCTTCACCCAGGGTTTTGTTTGATTGTTTTTGGTATCACAGCATGCAGTGTGATTAGCTGTCCCGCACTGGGGCCTTGGTGGCGGATTTCAGCGACGCCGAGTCCACAGCTGCCAGCACTTTCAGACGCGTGTGATAAAATACCTGCGAGTTTTTCTTTATCTCTTTCCTCCGTTTTACTTTCAGTACAGCTTTTGCTTCGATCGTGAGCGAACGTGTCCAGGTCAAATTTGTCAGGAAGCTCATGCAATGAGAGTGATAGACGGCATCTTGAAACTCACGCGCCATGTTTCTTTGTTAGTACTGTTACAAAATCAGTTTTGACCTGGGTTGGAGTCAGATTCATTCTTTAATGGTACAGTTTGAATATCAGTCTCATGCTTGGAAAAATGAACGTTAGCATTAGTTTTTCAATGGATTTTATTGGACTTTAAAAAGCTCTAGGTAGGAATTTTCATTATGATACATTTCCTCCTTTGATTCCAATATTTTATTCAGCAAAGAGTATTTGATCTCGCCATTTAGATGAATTTCCACAAGCTGTAAAATTAATGATAAACAATAAAGGACACAGTATGGATATCATCCTGACTTTTCTTAGTCACCAGTGCCAGGAAACATCAAAAGGTATCTTGTATATCACAGCTTGCATTTTCACACCACGGAAAGTCTTCAGGACGGACTGTTCGGCCCATGTACAATGAAACACTGAACACTATCAGAATGCTACGCTTGCAGGTGGGTTTAATGTGGAAGGAGGTGGAGAGACAGATGGCTTTTGTTTAATTTTAATGTCTACATCTGGTTTTAAAGGAGGTGTTACTTGTGCAAGGTGTGTTTATATTGTGATTTCACGCACGGAGGGTTTTACACTCTCCCCAGACAGCTTCTGTTCTTCAAGAAAAATGGGACAAAAAAACATGTAATTAAATGATGTTGCAAGAAAAGAATAAGGGCCTTTTATTGTTCTTAAGATTAGAATTAATACCTCAGGGAGGAAGTACAGACGCTCCTCTACTTACAAACTTTCAGACATGCAAACGAAGAGGATTAAACGTCCAAATTGTGTTCATTGGGCTCCCGTTTCCTGTCGCCAACATCGTTTTTTTTTCTTTCTGTTCGCCAATTCCGCCTAATACGACTTCTGGCCGCTACTCCCGCCGCGCAGCAGCGTAGCGTGCGTACTCCCAGCATCCTAGTTCTTTGTACTTGCGTATACCCTCAAAATGATGTTGAATAATGACTTACGAACATTTCAAGTTACGAACGGCCGCTTGGAACATATCTCATTCGTAAGTAGAGGAGCGTCTATATATGCTAGATCAGGGGTGGGCGATCTTATCCGCAAAGGGCTGGTGTGTGTGCAGGTTTATGGGAAAACCTTTAGGTCAGCTGTTCAAACCCAGGTGTGAGGACTCTTCAGCCAGTCAGTCCTCTAATTAGTAATCTAATTAGGGAGTTGCAGCGAAAACCTGCATACACAACAGGCTTTTCTGGATAAGATTGTCCAAGGGGGAGACCCTGTCCGTGTGGTTCTTATGGATCTCCAGATCCTCCATTGACATCACATGTGTTGGGTTAGCTTTAACCCATAGTGGTGCCGCTCTCGTTAAACAGCATCGGTCATGTTGTAGCCCATCTAGTTGGGTTAACTTTAGACGGAAGTCCAACAGGAATGCTTCTTACCTAAACGCTTATTAGACAGTCATGACTTTCCAAGAAGCATTCTTACTGGACTTCTAGCATAAGTTAATCCAGCTAACTGAGAAATCCTGCTTCGTGAGATGCCCCCTGGAAGCTCAATCAGGGCCCTCACAGCCGCAATCCGACCTGCTCCACTCCTCCATTCTGTTCGGTCACTGGATCACGGCACTGTCCTTGGAGTTCGCACTCATTTCGCTCTGTCCATTCCTGAAAGAATACCAGAGACTAAACCACAATGCTAAGCTCTAACAGCCGTGTGCGGGGTACCGTGAGACTTGAAGATTCAGCTAAATGTGGTGTTTTTTTTTGTGTTCCTTAAAGAACTAAATAGGTTACTGACGTGTTCCTGTGTCCATTTATTTTGTACTAACTTTTATACTTGATTGTTTGCAGTGAATGTCCAATAAATAGATTTTTAGTCATTTAATAGCAGATATACATTTTGGATGGCATATCCTGACAAACAATAAACGTTCAACTGTAACATCTTTGAGCTTCTTGGATATCATAAGTTTATTTTTGGTGAATCTCAAAAGCGCAGATAATGCACAGATAAGCAAATCAGCAGCTGACTAAGCATGCAGGGGTAGAGGACTTTGCATAGCAGTCAGGCCCAGGCCAGAGCTGTGCAGCTTAATGTTCCTGGAACAGCTGTGCTACAGAGAAACATTAACAGCTGTCGGGGAGCCATGCATCACTGGACAGTGAGCGGATGGTTTCGCTTACTTATGGACATTGAGCACATTTCTGGTTCTGGTTTCCTGCAAGGAACACAAAGCACTGTCCCACGTTACTGCCAGCCAATGGCTGAGTTTCCTGTCCTCCTCTGCCCTGACAGTGATGCCCCCCCACCACCAGTCACACCTGCAGCAGCCGCCAGCCCCGCCCATGGCCCCCAGCGCCCCCCCCTCCCAGCCGGGCGGACAGGCCGGTGTCCTGAACCTGCCCAAGCCTTTGGCCACCCAGCAGCAGCACCAGCAGAAGATGCAGCTTCAGCGAATCCAGCTGGAACGGGAGTGCATTCAAATGCGACAGGAGGAACTAAGGAGACAGGTAGTCCGAACCAGCAGGGGGCGACGTGGTGCCCGATATGTGGTTGATGCAGGGATCAGCTTTTACTAAAAAAGTAGACAGCCATTAGTCACAGAAATGCCAAGTTGTATTTTTGTCTTTCTTTTCATAACTTCGACTACAAGTATCTTCTCCACAATATTCTAATCCTTCCTTATCTTGTCAGATGTGCACTGTTGGAATTACTTTTTAAACAGCAAAAAAGTCCTTCAGATGTGACTCTTTAGAAAGCCAAGGATGCCAGCTGAAGGCTCAGATGGTTGAAATTTACCCTTTGTTTTCATGCACAGATTTTATTTTTAATCACAAGTTGGGGCAAACCCGAGTGCCCTCTAGTGGCAAAACTGTTGCCAGTTTGCATTTTCCTTCATGAGAGGGTGAGCCCACTAACAGAATGTTTGTAACTTGCAGACATCCTGTTATATATCTGTGCTCTCCAAGAACACTTAATTATTTTCTAAGTGACCAATGGAACATTAAGCAGGCATCTCATCTAGTAGGAGTTTCTCCTGGTAAGAAATTCTTAAAATTGTCATGCCTAGAGTATTTCTGGGCATCCAGTCACTGCAGTTGAACTTTATAATGTTTCTGATTTATTAACATTTATTAAGCTATCAGCTATTAAAATATATTCTTCCATGTGAAATACTTACCTGTTGAGTAACACCTTTGCAGCAGTTTCACCTGTAGCGTCACAGAAAGGAATCCTCTCTCAATATAGCGCTATAGCCGTGAGACTCGCTGGTCTCCAGTTTCACTCTGTAGCTGTCTTGACCTGTTGCACAACCATGCCGTACCCTGGAAGCTGAGATACCAGTTTGTCCCCACAGTCAACTCAGGAACCAGATTTCTATCTACTAAATGACTGAACCTCGGTAAACGTAGAGAAATGTACATTTTGTTCTTTAAAAAAATACCTTGTGAAGAATATCTGAGCACTGCACACAATACTGTGATTTTTTTTTTCAGTCTGATGCTGTTCTTCACCCACATATCTCACATCGGGTCACTGGTTCCTCTTTCTACTTAAGTTCCTTCAGTTCTTTAGAACTACAGAGCAGGGGTGTCAAACTCCAAAATAAGCAGTGTGACACCCCAGCTACAGAGCAGTGTTTCCCAATCTGGTCCTCGGGGACCCACAGTCGGTCCATGTTTTCGCTCCCTGCCAGACAGTCCACAGTTTTGCACTTTGCTGGGAGGGAGCCAAAACGTTGACTATCTGTGGGTCCCCAAGGACCAGATTGGAAGACACTTCTATAGAGGCTCGTTATACAACACAAGTGCTTCAGGTCTCCTAGGATGTGGTTATGTGTATGTAGAAAGCTCAGATCTGAGGAAGGCTCCTCTTAGTTGCCTTCTGAACATACGTGCACTTTCTGTCTTATTGATCTCACCTCATGACGCGAGTTGTGATTACAGTGAATCCGGTCTTACTGCATAGCTCAACTGTAGTCTTCAGTCGGGCCATAAAATTTATTAACAGGTAAAAGAGGGTCGGGCAGATTTGTTGAGTGGGGGCGGGGGGCGTTCCATCTATATTCTGATTAGCCCAGTACTGGCCCAGCACATGCAACCAATATAAAATTGTACTGCAACTGTTTTTAATCATATTTACAGTGTATTTTGCCATGCAGAATAACCTTACAGTTTTCTGTAGTTAAGCTGCAGGACATCTCAAACCAGCATATAAATCCATAGGCACACACAGGCCAATAGGTTAAGAAATCAACGTGTTGTTTGAACATACCACAAAATACCGTATACCGCAGTATAAAAATGTGTGTGAGGGAGAAAGAGTAAGTGCAACTTGAACTACGTAAAGTACACAAGCTGTCTAAGTATGCATGGGAGGGATCTGATTTTGTTACCGTAATACTGCCCAAGCCTATGTCTAACCAAGAGATTTTAATGCGCACATAATACAACGCACAACAGAAAAGGGATAGAAGCGCTAAAGACGGACATGGAAATTCGTCAGTATTGATCAGATCAGACTCGGCTTTGGAAAGAATGCTTCATTCATGCTGGTTATTTGTTTCTACCGGATATTCGGCTCACTCCTATTGTTTTTCCCGGTCACTGTTTGCAGCTCCCTCTAGTGATCAGGCAGCATGATGTGCTAGTATTTATTTCACAATGGTTTCATTTTGTTCATTTATATATATAAAAAAGGTGTATATCCTGTATTTTCTGCCGACTGATCGCGTTTTTAGTTATTAGCTTTATAATCTCCCGAATCAGTATCCCGAGTGAAGTTTCAGATGGAAATGAAAATGCCTCTCGCCTTGATGACTGCTAGCTGTAACCTGCCTGTGAATTCCCCTCTAATTCCCAGGAGGTGGCACTGTGCCGACAGCTTCCTATGGAATCCGAAACCATGGCGCCCACTGCCATGACTCAGGGTACCATTCCCACAAACAGCTCCGATGCTATCAGGCAAGTTCTGCCATATTTCTGCCAAACATTTTTCAATCAGAAGTTATGGTCATTGACTATGTTCATTGAGTGGCTGAGGTATATTTGTTAGGAACCATATTCTTTTTGTTGCTGCGTGACAAAGCTAGAGAGGGTTTAGCTTCCAGAGCTTCCGTATAGCAGATCAGTCTTCCGTCTGCAGGTCTGATTTCCCAGCACAGCTTTCTCAGGCCCTGGTGAGTCAACTGCTGCCTGGTCTCAGTTTACACAGCAATACCATAGTAAAAAAAATCAATAAGTAGCGCATTGTGTTAACAACCCAAGGCTTGTAGGTTCAAATCCCATGGAGCACACACAAATTTTAACATTTCCCTCTTCTAAAACATAGTGCTGATGTTTGTCGAGTTGTGTGAATCGCCCAGAATTCACCATAGAGTTCATTCTCTGTCCATCAAGGCAATGCCGAGCTAGGCTTGGACTGTGTCTCGCCCCCTGGTGGTAGGGAGTACTGTGCTTAAGAGCCCCTGTGTTTGTGACCCTGTAGCGGACACTATCACTCCCGGGATAAGAGTACCGACAGCGGCCTGGGTTTGGGCTGCTGCAGCCACCCCACCACCCCTGAGGGCTTCCTAAGCATGGACGAAATGGACACAGGTACCTACACTCGCCACTTCACTTTGGACCTTAATTCCAAGCCATGATGATGTATAAATCATTTCAGGCTTATGGTTGTCCAGACCTAAGACAAAGAAGTGAATAACGATCCACAATTTTTGAAAATGTAACATTATTAAAGCTAGCTAAATGATATCCATATTTTTGTTACTGTCTATCATTCTGGCATTTCATCGTAATGTAAGAAGTCTATTCACAAACAGCATTTAATTTCAGTATTGCCTGTTTATTGTTCAGGTTCTGCTGAAATACACACTACCTAACACTGAAATCACCTAATAAAAAAATAAGTACCTTAAATGGAGATAAACCTGTTATTTGCTGAGGTCTCAAAGACATGCACATGGTGGTCTGCACATCTGAATGACCCTCCGACCTTTCTGATACCCTAACCGGCACGCCTTTCCGCAGGAGAGAGCCTGAACCCAGGCGTTATGGGTGTACCACAGACAAACCGCTTTCTGGATTTCCTTGACTCGTTGCCCGGCACGGACGTGGACCTCGGCACGCTGGAGGAGACTGAGCTTATTCCGATCCTCAATGACGAGGAGTGGTGCTGAAGCAGAACCCAGCCTTTCTGCCTCGGTACCGGGCCAAAGCGGAGGCAGGGGGGAGGCAGGGCTTCCCCAAATCCTGCCTCGGTTCCATTAACTGCCTGAAAGATCCTGCTTGGATCCTTTACAAAACAAAGCAGCCTAAATGAGAGAAAAAAAATCACTAACCAAAGGCACATTGTTCGTTTAGTAATATGCAATAGGCAGGTATTACATTTAGCACCACGAAATGCAGTATTTTCAAAATGAAGATCTACATTGTGCTCTTTGCTTTTAATGCCATAATTGTGTATCCACGTGCAAAGTATTTACACTTCATTCCTATTTCTGAGAGCAATATCCAGAGCAGGTTTTTTTAAAAAAAAAAAAAGAAGAAAAGAAGAAGAAAAAAAAGACTTATTATGAGTGTCTGTGCGCTGATTGTGGTGGCGCCCTCTGTCTGTGGTGACACTGCGCTGCTCTGAAAATAGCTCCATCCTGTCTTCCAGCAAATGGCCGCTATGATTTCAAAATCAGCTCAGAAGCCTTAAGATAAAGTTTTTGCAGCGACCAAACATGCCTTTCTTAGTGCCTGTGACATGCTACATGTTACAGGCTTTATAACTTAACCTCTTTAAAGTCGATTTAGGTTTATTGGTATTTTAGCAGATCTGCACACGTTGTTAATTTTTTTGCGGCTTCAACATCACTGCACCAGACTCATATGCCAAGAAATTCCCAAATAGCCTTTTATGTTTTTTTTAAAAGTTTTTTTTATATATATATATATATATATATAGAATGCTACAGTATTCCTTTCCTATACTGTAAAATTATCCAAATATGTTCTTTAACATAAGGTCTTTTTTAGTTTTGTTAATATAGTTTGCATTTTAGTATTTATCGGAAGTTATGATTCTTTAGAGAGATTTTAGGGTTTTTAATAAATTTAAACTTAAAAGCACTACAACTGTGGATTAAATAAGATCTGAATATGAAAGGAATGTTAAGTCTATTGATAATTTGGGTAATCAGAAAGCTCAGTGTGGTTATATATATTCTAGCAAAATATTTTGCAATATTGTGATCCATATAGCCTAATGAACAAATAGTATGATCATATTCATATTGCAGGATAGGTTGATTTAAAGCCAAATGTTTTAAACACCTGAACAGCAGGGAATATGTTTCGTGTTTCATGCCACGTGAATAAAAATAGGCTGTATATGTAAAGAAAGGATACTAGAATGAAATGTATGGGGCCGTTTCCTTTTAAAACTATGCTGCGATTCCATTTGATTGTTCAGATTCGTATTTGTGTTGCATGTTGAACTGTATTTCCTTTTATTTCGGTTTGATTTATTCTGGGAGGGGAGGAGCCACGAGAGGGCGCTTCTGTTCAACCAATCAAGGCAATCTGAATGCGGTGACTCTATATGAAAAACAATAATTAAAAACCAGGACGGTAAAACTGCAGAATCCGTCTCCAGTGCAAGGTCGTTCTCCTCTATCAGCCCATCAGGTTAAAATAATGGGAACTGCTATCACTAAAGTGTTACCACTGTATTAATGTAAAACCAATGCACCGTGGACCTATATAAGGAGGACGTCCATATAAAAGGCTAAAATGGCCTTTATTGTGATACTGTTAGGAGGAGTGATTCGATTTCCAAAGCAGAAACTGCGTTTTTAAAATAAATTTTAAGAGTTCGTTTTGGAGCACGTGGAAGTAAATACAGTATGATCGATGACGTATGTGACGTTTAAGGAAGTATGACTAACTTGAATGGTATTACATTGGTTCCTAAATGGAAATATTAAGTTGTTTCTCAGTGTAGTTTTGTGTTTGCGGTATTTTTCAAAGTATTGTGACTCTTGGTGGCATGCTGGTGAATCCTGGAATCACACTAACAATAGCTGTGTTTGATTTCTCATGGTAATTTCACAAGGAGTTCACACCGAAAATGTAATCTCAAAAAATGAGCAAGATCAGCAAAAAAAAAAACAACTTTTGTAACTATTGTATTAATTGTTTCAAATCAAATAAAATAATTTTAGTATCATTACTTGTGATACTGTTCATTCATTGTTACTGTTTCATTGTGATGTGTCAATACGGGAAGCCGCAATTAACTAGTATTTTGCAACAACCGTGGTACACACGCAAATAAAGTTTTGTACAGTTTTGTCTTCATTTGACGTGTTAATTCTAGCTGACATGGATTACAAATGGATGGTCATCCTAACGGTAGAGTAGTAGTCGGTGTTGTTATAGTTCTGGTGAGCAGCTGTACGAGGAGGGTCGGAGGTACCCACATGTCTGATTTTTCATATTGTCCAGACATCATATCGAAGTATACGGTTTTTTAAATAGTAGCACTATATTCCAGCTTTTTGAAATACTGGTGATGAAATTCGCCCAGCGGGAGATCGCGGTTAATTTTGTCGTAATGATTTAAAAATACTGCAGTACACCATATTAACCTAATACCGCCCAAGCCCAGACTAGTAACTTTAAAACTGTAAACTTTTACACATTTCATTGCACTGCTCGTGTTTGAGTTCGTTGCAGTACATCTGCCCTCTGCTGGTTGGGTGTGATATCACCGCTGTCTGCAGCACCGACCGCGGTATGAACACAATCTGTCAGGCGCAGGCGGTAAAGTGAAGAAGGAATTGGCCTTTATAATGCACTATATTCACACAAATTCCATTGGAACTTTATCAACCCACCACCCCGGCAAATTTTAACTCCAAACTTGGGCTAACACTGAGTTGGTAGTATATCAGTATTGGCCTCACCAAACGTGGTACAGGATTGATTCGGATGAAAAAGACAATCTGGTGTCGCCCATTCCTAGGAGGACATCCTTTAGCTAATGGTTATATATATATATGTGTGTGTGTGTGTGTGTGTGTAGCAGGCCAATGAGCGTAGACACGGATATTCACCTGATGACAAGATGTCAAAATCACATTATTAGTACCGGATACTCGTTTCAACCGCATATTTGGCTCACGCCTAGTTAATATTACGGTTGGATAGAATTATTGGATTTCCGAGAGAAATTACAGGTTTAGCGTGAAACTGGACCCAATGCAGGAGTCTCACACCCAGTGCGGGAGAGTTGGCAGTCCAGTTACCAAATTCAAAACTCCGAAGCGGTATAGCTTTCGCTCTTCAGATAAACTGTATTTCAAAATCTTACAATTAGTAATTACTTTGTATAACTATTACATCTATCAGTTACATGTTCCATTTAAATTGTTATATACAAAATCAATAAAAATGTCTTATAAAACCATTTTAGGGTAAAGTCAAGAGATCCCCAGTCTGTACATAGCCTGATTAATCTGGCCAGTTGGTCAGAGATACTTCGCACTTCAATCTGAATTTTGCTGAACAGGGTGTTCTTTCGACACCGTAAATGGGAAAAAAAACAGTGTACAAAAATAATCACAAAGTGAAAAGTTGTTCAACTAGGATTTGATGTGCTGTAAATCTAAAGACTTTGAGCCACTGCGTAACGGGGTCTCTGCAAGGTTGGTCCACTCAAGGGCGTAACTTTGGCTGGAACATTGGTGGTAAATTTTGATTTATTGGGGGGGCTACAACCCCTCCATCCCCCCATAATTTACGCCCATGGGTCCACTGATGTAAGCACAATATATTTGAACGTAAATATAATTGCGTGACAATTATATGCGTGCATTAAGGAAAATTGTTATAATGTTAATTCTAACTTATTGCATCGCTTGCTCACCCGGACGTAGATTTGGGCATGGATGGTCGGGACATTGGGGGCGGGGGATTCGAGACTATTTTGGTTCCCGCCAGTGTTGATAGCAAAACTACGCCCATGCTTGTTCATTAGTTTTCTAAGCTTGTCATATGTCTAGATGGATGGAGAAACAACTTTTACTGGCCGGAGTTAAAGAGAAGATGAAGAAGTAAAGATCGGCCCACATGCGGGCGGTTATTTCTACAGTCCATAATAAATCCTGTGCTGCCGGTAGTGAGACTCGCTATCAAATAATGTTCACAAATTATTTTATTCCAAAAAAAGAAGCTCATGGTTAAATGGTGCGTTGAAATCCGTGCTTTACAGAGTGCATGGTGGCTTTTGCGGAGGGGATCATGCTGCATTTCATGTCTCGCCGCTCCCCCGTCGTTTGCCTGAACGGCTGCGTCGCCTCAAGTCAGCCGCTCGCCTCACAGATTGGGCTTGGTAAGTATTGTACATGGTAGAGATATGGCTGTATGGCGTGGCAGGATAAGAAGACAAAATATTAACGTATGTCAAGGTCAATACTGGAGCAAACCTTTTGAACTCATCACTTTAATGCAAACACTATTATCAGATTATGTATTATCGATACGTAAAATATGTAGGAGTTGCACAGCGAAAAGCTGTTTGTTCCCCATTTAGACACATGAGGATACTGGAAGAAAAACGAAATGTATAGAAACTTGCCACCAAAGTCAGCTGGAAACCCAGACAGCATTTTGGGGCGATAATCAGGGCTGGAACTTAGGAATTTTTGCCACTAGCCAAAAAATGAACATTTGTATCCTGTGTGTTCCCTGTGCTTGGCAGACACTCTGAAGCAGGGGGGTAATGCGGCTGACGCGGCGGTGGCTGTAGCAGCGGCGCTGAGCGTGACGGAGCCGTGCAGCACGGGCCTGGGCGGAGACTGCTTCTGCCTCTACTATGAGGCCCGCACCGGCCAAGTGCGCGGGCTGAACGGCAGGTAAGTAGGACCTTCAGCTGGGCCGATGGGCCCCGTCACAGGGGGGTCTCTGCAGTGTGAGCATCGTCTCAGCAGGCAGGGAGCACACAGCAGAGGATATCCCTTCTAAGGAAACCACTGCTAACCTCCCACATTTGGTATGTATTTCCACATCTTTATTGTGATGTGGAACTGGATGTTCTGTGTATTTCCTAGACACATTCACACATCACATAGCTTTCCACTCTTCCTGTACATTCACTGTTATCATCAATGAAAATGACTCTGTTGGGGATCAGTGATTCACACAGGGTTTGGAATCAATCAGATCTCCCATAATTCACTTCTCTAATCCCTCTCCTGTTCAGGGAAGACATCTCCTTCTCACAATGTGATGTTATGTCATGGGCATAAATTATGGGTGTGGATGGGGGGGTTGTAACCCCCCCCCCCCCAATAATCAAAACCAGCCAGTACAACCCCCTGGACCCCCTTAAATCACTGGAGACCCCCCCCCCATGCTCAACCCAAAGTTATAATCTTGTGTTTTGTGGTGTGTGGTAGTGATTGGTTACTGTATTTAATAATATGCGTGTGTATAAGATAATTAGCACAGAAATGAATTAACGGGTGAGGAGTTACTGTGCTTGTGATTTTGATGTTTTATATTCGTGTTTTTATAGTATTAATTTGGATATGTGGACGGTCAGAGGGGTAGCTGTAGAGTGGGGGAATGGGAGGCCTGATCATTCCACTGCTTTGTAATACGGAACATATCACCTGACAGCCCCCCCCCCCCCCCTTCCTCTTGCAGTGGGCGGTCCCCCAGGGCGCTGACCTTAGAGGTGCTGCAGGGAATGGACTTTGACGAGGCCAGCCCCCCCCCACTCTTCCATGCCCTGAACGTCACTGTCCCCGGGTCTGCTGCCTGTTGGTGTGACACTGTTGAACTCTTTGGAAGCAAAAAGGTGCAATATTTATACAATTAAGGGTAACACTTTACATTAACTGCACCTTCATAATGCTTTTATATTGCATTCATAAAACATTCAGTGCACCTTCATAATGTATTCATTAAGTATTCATAAAACATTCATAAACATGTATGTATACCTTAACATCCTAACATCCCTTAACAGCTGTAATATACATTAATAACAAACAGGATATAATTAATAATAAATCCCCAGGCACAGATATGCGGGTGTACATGCAGTGTTTAAGGATTGTCTAAAAATCTAGGAATATTAGTCAGCATAATTAATGTCTTGCACTGCACACATCATTTTTACCTGCTTATATTCAGCTAAGTGTGGAGTCCATACTTTGATGTGTTCTTCCTTTTGCTGCTGTCAGGATGTCCTCGTGACTCACCATGAACAGCATCAGTAACACCATGGTTGTGAGTTATTGTGGAATTAGTACTGATGTAATATGGCCAGTCTTCTAGTGGCCAGGTTTCCTCTACTTCTGGCCAACGTCACTACTGTGTTTCATGTAAATGCAGTCATTCATAGGGATGAATTCACCATTTGGTTTTCTTGGCCTGCATGATCAGGTAGTCATCATATGTTCTATTTGTTCCTGAAGTTTTCTTTTAACACGATGAATGTGATTGACTAAGCTTCTGTATTTATTAAATAGGAAGCAAGCCAAGTTGGGGTGATCAGGTGTAAATTTGCAACATTACCTGTGCTAGGTGAGATGAGTAGGAACCGTTTATAATCGGCGCTTTCACACTGAAGCTCTGGAACCTGGTGCCTGGGCTCCACCGGGGACTTTTGTAGCTCTTGGCCTCTTTCGTCTGTCTGACACTTTGTTTTGGAACTGCAGCTCTCCCTGGGTGAGATCCTTCAGCCTGCCACTGAGCTAGCCCTATCCGGCTTTCCTATTGCTGAGGTCACAGCGCACCACTGGGCCAACTGGGCAAAGGTTTCTGGCACGGATCTCAGTCCAGACTTCCTGATCGACGGCCGGCCGCCACGGCATGGGGAGGTTTTCCGTAACCCTGCTCTGGCTCAGACGTTCAAGGTAAAGATTGTAGTCAGTAAGTCTTCAGTATTGCTGTAGAGAAGATGGAGCAGCTTGAAACATTTCATACTCTGTGTCTCAGAGTAGTTTGTGTCAGTAGTTGTATTTCTCAGTGGACATATTTAGTTGGCTCTTTCATAAGTTTCTCAATCACTCAAAGTATAATTAATTGATTGATGGACTGATTGTTTAATATTTATTAGACTTTAAAGTGGAAAATTTCTAGATCAAATTTCTAGGTCTATTCTTAAATTAGTACAAATATGCTTCAGGGAATGTGGGTACCAAGAGGCTTATGAATCTCCCTATTATGTAAGATCAGCATCTTCTTAAAAAGACACACTGTAATCAGGACCTCTGCACTGAACCTGTCAGGTAGACTGAGTGAAAGAAACGCTCCCTCATCTAATATTGGCTTTAAAGGGGCCCTATTATGCAAAGTCTTAAGGCCCAAAGTAGATGCCAATGGAAGTAATTCTCACTGCTATTCTCTAATCTGCCTGAAATGCCTCATTGGAATTCCAGCCCTGGTGAGGTCACCTCATAACACAATCCTTATTGGCTGCCTACCTGGAAGCTCTCTTCTGACTGCAAGATAGGAGTGTAATATGTAGAGCAAGCTGACCAATCAGAGCACACTGGGGTCATTGGGGGTGGGGATTAAAGCTGTAGCAGAGCATTTCTTACAGATGTACAGTACGAGGACAATTATGTTTTTGGAACATTTGAAGCATGTAAATCTATAATAAAACTAAAAAGAGCATAATATGGCACCTTTAACTTCTTTTACTGTCCTGTTGGTTCTCAGTAGGGTACTTTAGATGTCCTCTTCTAAAACAAATTGATTCTCTCTTCCAGGAGCTTGCGTTACATGGCAAATTGGGCTTTTATGAAGGCAGGATAGCAGAGGCCATCGTGGATGTAGTCAATAGAAACGGTGGGGTGATGAGCTTCCTGGACCTGAAGAGCCACGCTGGCACTGAGGTCGTGCCCATTTTCACCGATTACAAAGTATGTGGCTGCTGGCACCATCTGGGCAATCGCAATAACTGAAGGACACATATAGCTACTTTACTATCTATATGCAGAGATGGGTAATTCCGGTCCAGGGAGTAAAAGTCCAGACCAAGATTTTGTTTCAACCAACCAGTTGAGTACAAAGAGTCACAGTCACAGATACTCAACTGGTATTTTTGAACAGAATCTTGGTTTGGATTCTTACTCTCTGGACCTGAACTACCCACCTCTGTCTTTATCAACGTTTTATATACTATTTCCCATTTAATGTCACACTCAGAGTTATTATAGAAGAATTCTGCAAGAGATTTGGAACTTGACTGCGTTTTTCATATCAAATTTTACAAATGGTAATGAAAATTGACTGTACAGGTATGTACTCTTTGGTACTCATTACTTTGATACGTTTTATGAAATCCATTCATCTGTTTTCTGTATATGTTGTCATAGTGAGTGAATGTGGAAACCTAATATTTAAAGTGTGTTTACGAGTCGTATTAGAGGGCCATAAACTAACTTGTAGATGTGCATGTGATTTCTTTTAGGGAGTAAGACTTTGGGAAATTCCTCCCAATGGACAGGGAATAGCAGCCCTCATTATCCTCAATATATTACAAAACTTCTCCATCAGAGGTACAGCTCTCATTCTTCAGTAATCAACTTGGTAATTAATTATAATACAGTAGTAAATGTCTTCTTTCATGGAAGACATGGAAGCTCTAATAGTGGATTTAGCATGTTTTACAATCACTTAAATCGGGGAGAAACTCAATGAAATATTCAAAGCTCAGTGTCATTTAGCAATTTATGTACGTTGGGGTCCATGTGTGTATCAATAACCCCAGAAAATAATACTGTTTTGGTCTGTATGTGAAGGCAGTATGTCTAGATGTTCTCTCCTTGGTGGTGAAAGTGATTCTTTGACTGTTGGCTGTCGCTGTGGCTTGTAGAGATGGGTCACAACACAGCTGCCTACCTGCATGTCCTGACCGAGGCCATTAAGCTGAGCGTGTCCGACGCCGCCCGATTCTGTGCTGACCCTGACAAGGTCAGCGTGCCAGTGGAGGGACTCCTGTCTAAGGACTATGCCCGACAGCGTGCCCAGATGATAAACATGACAAAGTAAAGGTCGTCTCCGATCCAGGAGGGCTGCTGCACTGGCTGTTTGGGTTAAGACAAGGGTCACCAACCTTTTTGAAACTGAGAGCTACTTCACGGGTACTGAGCCATACGAAGGGCTACCAGTTTAAGTTTAGGTCCTAAACTTATCTAAACTATATGTATAATAAACATGTTTTAAATGATTATTTTAGATATTGTTTTCAAATCTATATAAATGCAAATGTGATTAAAGAAGAATAGCAACAGGATAAAATTAAATTTTAGATGCTGCTCATTGGTGAGTTGTGCTATTTTCAGAACTGGTCCTTGGGTGACTCATGTTGTCATTGGGGGCATCCTGGTGCCCGCGGGCACCATGTTGGTGACCCCTGGGTTAGGACCAGCCTGCCATGTTCACTCTCCTTATCAATGTGTGTGCTGTGCCTTGTTTTAGATGACTGTTTACTTACTTTTCTATAATCTCTGTTTTACAGTCCTAGTTGTTAATCATCCTAGTTGTTAATTTGTTCCTGGTTAAAAAAAAACCTCTTGCAGTGTTTCACAGGGATTTGGGGTACAAGCACATATTTGCTTTGAAAAGATGATGAGTTAATAGCCAAATTTTCAGTAAACAGTAATTAAGCAGGTGATGCTCTCTGGATTTTTTTGCTGCTCGAAATGAAATGATTACAGTTTTTCCTGCGAAGTTTCTGTATTGTTTTCCCCCAGAGCCAGCTGTGTAAGCACACATGGTACGCCCCCTGGAGGTGACACTGTGTACTTCAGTGTGGTTGACCAGCACGGGAACGCCTGCTCCTTCGTCAACAGCAACTACATGGGCTTTGGCACTGGGCTGGTTCCTCAAGGCTGTGGATTTTCCCTTCAAGTGAGCAGCGTCCCTATCTGGCTTTCGTATGATTTCCAAAAGTGCTGATATATGTCTGGAAAGAAAGGGGTGGGGGGGGCAGACTTACTCTTCGAAGTACGAGTATCACTGAAGCACTTTGTACAGATGGAACAGGTTGCAAGTTCCACCGTATTTTTTGATGCCCTTGCACATTTTCTGTATTTAAATGTCACGTTTTGTAGAACAGGGGAGCAAACTTTTCCCTGGATTCTAGTCATGGGAACTGCGTCGGCCCAGGAAAGAGGCCCTATCACACCATCATCCCAGCCCTGCTGACGGAACCCGTCTCCGGCAGGCTCCTCTGCTCCTTCGGAGTGATGGGCGGCTTCATGCAGCCCCAGGGACACGTGCAGGTACCCGAGTCTGCCTGCCCGCTGCACACACATCACGCCCCCGGCACATCCTGTCCTTGCCAGACAGATGGAGCAGGAACAGTCCGTTAGATTTCCTGATGTGCTTTCCGCAGGTGCTGCTCAACATGCTGGACTTTGGAATGAATCCACAGGAGGCCCTGGATGCCCCTAGGATATTTGTAAAGTTTGACAAGTCTGGTAAGTGTTTCGTGTTGAAATGTGAGTCCAGTTTGAGATTTCTGGCATCATCTACTGGGAAAAACCCTTTTAAATCTCAAAGAAACTATTCCGTTCCTTTTGTAAAGCTGTAATGATGATTAAATATTCTCATATACACTTAACATTATAAAATAATGATTAATAAAAGAGTACATATTTTTCAGTTTTATTTCGATATTATTTATATTTATCGAAAGTGATGTACAATTGAGAAAGTAGAGTTAGACAGTTAGGATTTAAGGGCCTTGCTGCTAAAGGACTCAACAGTGAAATCACTTTGCGAATCATGGGATTTGAGCCAGCAACCATCTGATCACAGGCACAGAGACCTAACCCACCAGATGACCAGGTGTGTGCTGACAGTGAACGCAGATTGCAGTTTGGCATTTTATGCTGACATCACTGACACATACACCCAATTTTTTTATGGTTGGTGCTTTGCGGCCATGTGACCCGGATCTGTGTGCCGCAGCCCAGGGGTGGCAGCTGCTGGTGGAGGCCGGCATCGACGAGGAAGTGGCAGCAGACCTCCAAGCCTTGGGTCACCGTATCTTCTGGCCGGTCTTGGGGCACGAGCGGGTGCAGTTTGGACGCGGGCAGGCGATTGCAGTGGGGACTTGGTGGGAACCTGCCAGTGGCCCATTAAACACAGCGTCCAGGGTGCTGTGGGCGGGGTCAGACCCCAGAGCAGACGGCTGTGCTGTGGGCTACTAGACTAGTCTACTAATCTCTGTTTGTCCTCAGGAGAGCATTGGAAGTCATCACCTATCTTTGTTGTCTAGACTTCTCTGCCTTCTTCTTTTCTTAAAGAGCTTTATCCCCTATTCGTCCTCTGCAAAATCCTGCAAAATTCATCCTGTAAAATCATCTGAAAATGAATGAAAATTAAGCCAGAATATCTGTTATTCAATATTGAATAGGTATAGCACACCTTTTATATTTTCTACATTGTGTTGATATGTAAACAAATGTAAAAAATAACATTAAAAAATCTGTTAAAAATGTTTATTTGTTAAGCATCATGTAATACATACATCCATCACCCATCTCTCTTAAATTCACTTCCAACGAGGGTTGCTGTAATATTTATACTCGCTCAGTTCCATTGACGTCGACAAACTAGCAAACTTCAAGTAGATATTTACAAACACAAAACAATGTAGCCCCCCCGAACAGCTTTATAATCGTGCCAGCAATTCACATCAGCATGACGATCTGGGATCCTTTATCAGGTATTACACTTCATAACTTTGCCACCTCTGTCAATGAGAAAGGGAATTCCGCTGCTGAAAAGCATCACAAAAGTGGTCATATTCATTTGTTTAGAGACGATGAGGAACAACACATAGTGCTATAGTACTTTCAGATACCTGTCAACTCTTTCACACACAACTGTAAGATCAAAAACAAATCAGTGTACCTTTTGAATAGCAAAATCAGATAAAGTACTGTAAGGCAGAGTACAGGAAAGATACAGATCATTACTATATATGTTGAAATAGGCTGTGTAGGAGACATCATGACCAGAATATTTTACGTTCAAAGTAAGTGGGATCTAAACAAAGCAATTAAAATTGTTACCTCAGTCAATATATAGTCGTGTGCATCAAATGGTAAAAAGGAAAACCAGTCCATTGAGTATTTTGGAATGTTTTTTTTTTTTAAATGGCTTATTAAATATATTCTTAGGTAACTAAATACCTTGTGTCGTCATGGGGTTTCCTCTGGGTACTCTGGCTTCCCCCCCCCCCCACAGTCCAAAAACATGCTGAGGCTAATTGCAGCTGCCAAACTCTCCATATGTGTGAATGAATGGTGTGTGATTGTGCCCTGCAATGGGTTGCTACCCCATTCTGGATTGTTCCCTGCCTTATGCCTATAGCCTTCAGGCTAGGGTCAGGACCCCCATTGTACAGAAAATGGATGGATGGGATCTCCCCAGCCCTGGCTGTGTGTTTGTAGAGATGGTATATGCTCTCTGTGTTTGCACAGGTTCCCCAGATTTTTATGGACTCTTTGTTTTCTACCTCACCACAAAAAATATCCGGGGGGGGGATGTCAGACCTGGCAAGTCTCACACATGATTCTCACCCTCCCGCAAGCCCTTTATTTTCACACATCCATGTTTAAGATTCACCCTAAAAAGAATAGTTTTGCCATTTTATTGCATTTCTCTATCACGGCTACATTGCACAGGTAGGGTCATCTACCGGCTAATCTTTACATGTCTCCCACTTAATCCATTCTGGTCAATCACGGATGTTTGCTGTTGAATATAAGACCATGCTTGGTTGATTAATTGATAAGCTTCCTTTTTAGTGTTTGTAGAAGTGCAGTGGTAATTATTTTCTTGTTCAAAGGGCCAAATCATGCCTGAACAGTTCCATCAAAACCAAATTCTCAAAGTTACTCTTTTAATCAAAGTTTGCAAATAACAAAACATACAATTATTACATGCAACTGTCACATTACATGCAAGCTTTGCTGATATGTAATTAAAAGAATCAATCCATTTATGTTTAATAATTGTGTTTTTTTTGTCTTCATCTAATTGGCTGAAAAAAATGGCCTGAAATTTAACCAGCTTAAAAGAAAAAGCTTCTAAAATAGGGAATATTTGTAAATTTCAGAAGCTCCAGCATGGCAACCTCCAAAAAAGCCAGTTCTCCAGCAAACTTTTACCAGTCATCCACCCTTGGTAGGTCTGAAACGCTGAAAGCTAACTGCTGTTCCAAACTATTAGAAGTTGCATGGTTGGCTCGATCAATGGACATTTTCAAAAGAAGGTTGATTTTTGCAGTTCACATCTAATTTTTTTCGACAAAATACGGTATTTGATAGCATCCTAGCATTTCATAACAATACTACCCGTACACCAACCAGGTAATACGAATGTAAAAAAGAAACAAGTTTAACCTATATTGAGATAAAATGTACTGCATAATCATGTATTTTACCGAAATCAGGAACGATTTATATGGTTAAAAATGCTCATTTTTCTATCACAAAAGCGGATATATCTTTTACAATTACTTTATAAAACGCACTTAAAATGCAGGCGAAACCATGGACGCCTTTCCATGGTCCTCATCGCGACATCACGTGATCTCTCCTCGTAGAGGATGCCGGTTTACACTTCCAGACGCGTGCGTATGTGTTTAGGACATTAGCAATAATTGTACGATTCCCCTTATTCTTCTGTTTTTAGTTCGTGAAACCTAGAACTTTATTATGGATGACGAAGAAGAGACTTATAGGTTATGGAAAATTAGGAAAACAATAATGCAGGTGGGTAAAGGCGACTCAGTTTAATTTGTTTTTTTGTCATAGGCAGGTCGATTTTTGGCAGTTATACGGAAATAATTTATACTACATTTATTATGAATATTATTTTCTTTTTCTGTGGAAATACAAATAGTTACTTTTCTCTAACTAGATGTATTAACTTTCAAATGCAAACCAAAGCGACCTAGCAACTGTTAACATTGTATTCATTTTTTCATTCATCGACATTGAACAATAAAGAAACCCGTTATTGAAACGATATTAAAACTATTGAGTGAAAGTGTTATAATAAACGTTATCTTATACAGCTAAAGCATTAGTGTCTGTAATTTCTCGGTCGTCTCTTAACTATAACAATGGAAAATGTCACTTCTCCGTCGGGCATTTTATTATTATTCTTTTGCTTTCTTCCTGTCCTTGTTATAGTAGGATAACAAAAAGTAGGCCGTCGTGGTTTTTGGTGGTTGAAATATAAAAATAGAACGATGCCGTAAATTACGGAACGTACATCAGTGTAACAATTCATTTCACTTTTTGTAACAAATATGAATCATATGCAAAAGTATTAACATGTATAAAGACCACATGTATAATTTTTCTGTTATTAAATTAGTTTGAAAAATACTCTTTCAAGAAATACGCTGACTCTGCTGTTAGAAGCTGCAGAATATGACTTATAACAGATTTTGTCTCTGCGTTTCAGCTGTGCCATGACCGTGGATACCTAGTGACCCAGGATGAGTTGGACCAGACCCTGGATGAGTTCAAGGGCCAGTTTGGTGACAAACCCAGCGAGGGCCGACCTCGGCGCACTGACCTCACCGTGCTGGTCGCCCACAACGACGACCCCACAGACCAAATGTTTGTTTTTTTCCCTGGTATGTCAGCCACTGCATTGCATCCCGTGACACTGGCCAAAACATTCATTATGTTCATGGTGCTAAAACCACCTTTGCAGTCCGTGCACATATCAACTTCCTGAAATTCACAGCCAAATTTTCTCCTGCACTGAAATTCCGTGGCTCCTTTTTGTTCTGTGGTGATTTTATTCGGCAGGGTATTATTTCTATATCTTGTACTTTCCAAGCTTTTCCAGTCTCAGATATCCCCTTGTGCTATGGGGCTGCAACATATTGATATTTTAAGCTATATTAGATATTCGCCTCTTAATTTTGTCTTTGAGAATTTTGAGTCCCAGTCCATTCAGTCAAAGACCTGAATGTATTTCTTTCAAACCATAAGGTTCCCTTTATGGTGTAGGGCTGTCAACAGACACCCACAACTATTAAATGATGAAACAAAGACCTAAGACTGTTCCATTATATCTCCTGCAGAAGAGCCCAAGGTGGGCATTAAGACCATCAAGATGTATTGCCAGCGAATGCAAGAGGAGAATATCACACGAGCTATTATCGTGGTGCAGATGGGAATGACGCCTTCGGCAAAGCAGGTACGCAGTCTCTGCCCTGAAACATACGTCTCATCTACTCTCCTCAAGGAAGGATGATGCAGATTGTGGGTTAATTTGACGTGTTTCTACCCTTAGTCTCTAGTAGACATGGCTCCCAAATACATCCTGGAACAGTTTCTCCAACAGGAGCTTCTTATCAACATCACAGAGCATGAGGTAAGGGGTTGAAGCACACTGCACCAGCAGCGTCCTTTATATACACACATTCATTTCGATTTAGTGCTTGCTCTGATTGTACAGGCTCATGCAGTTGGTTTTTGTGTGGCGAGAATTAGAATGAACAATGGTACGTGGATCAGGTAGCACATGAATAGACCATAAAGAGGACAGGTTTTTATTCTTGGGACTGGTCTCCGATTAGTCCAGTCCTGTGCTGACTGACGCTTAACTGGTTCCTCTCAGTGAGGGCTGAATGAGTTTTAAAAAGAACAGCAGTTGTCTTGTGTACCAGTGTCCCTCTCCTTGAAAGTTCCATGTTTATCATTCGTTTTGCTTTGAGAATACCGGTCTTTTTCAATGGAAACTTTAAAAAGGTTATCCCTCCCATCCTGATCTGTTCTTCCAGTTTAGTGAACTTTTAGTCTTTTTTTTTCCGCTTGACTCATGTTTTTCCTACCCTACCAGGCGTTGGGAGATGACGGTACTTTCTAAGTCCCTGATGTACTGGTTCCCTTGCTTGTCGTACTGGTGCCTGGACAGAGATAGGCGTGATTGTTGAGTGCTTCTAATGGGTACCTCCTTGTTACCTTCTGCCCCTGGCAGCTTGTTCCTGAGCACATCGTGATGACCAAAGAAGAGCTGGCCGAGCTCCTGGCGCGATAGTATCCTTCTGCAGGAATGGGGGGCCATGCCTGGCCCTCCCCTCACTGTTTGCATATTACTGCTGTACTCACACCTGACACTAGTAGTGCAGCTTGTGGTCACATTTTGTGACTGACATACTGAGTTCTTGGGCTTAAGCTCCCAAATTAGACTAAAGTAGACCAGCCTCATTCCCCTTTTAAACCTGGTCATCTGACTTTGTTACTCTACTCTCAGTCTGGCCCCAGGGGACCTGCAGACAGTGCATGTTTTTGCTTGGGAGGGAACAGAAACGTGGACCGTCTCTGGGTCCTCGAGGACCGGGTTGGGAAACAGTGCTCCACTCTACTATAAAGGCGTTTGCTACCTCCTGATCTCCACTAACCCTCAGCAAACTCAAGGAGAGCCAGCTACCCAGAATCCAAGCTGGTGACCCAGTTGCTCGATACTTCGGACTGAAACGGGGGCAGGTGAGAGGCAGTTCCCCCTCAAATTCATTGTGTCATGGCAACACAGATACATAGACGTGCTAATTATTCCATTAATCCACCAGGTAGTGAAGATCATCAGGCCGAGTGAGACGGCAGGACGGTATATCACCTATAGGCTGGTACAGTAAAGAGACTGCAGTGAGTGTCTGTTTGGATAACTTCTCTCGTGTCACTGTTGCTTCATACAGTGTTTGCCAGTCTGGTTCTGTGGGACACCCAGCCCGCCCATGTTTTTGCTCCCTCCCAGCCCCCCCATGTTTTTGCTCCCTCCCAGCCCGTCCACATTATTGCTCCCAACTGGGAGCTGGGAAGGAGGAAAGACTCAGACTGTCTGGGGCTCCTTGAGGACCAGATTGGGAAACACTTGCTTAGTGATTTAGTCTCGGATAATATAAAGATACGACGCTGAAACCCCCTGAGATGTCCTCCTGTGTCCCTGCAGATGGCCTGCAGCTGTGCTGACCCTGCATATCTTGACCCATCCCCTACTGCTAATGATGATTACTGGGCTGTGACCCAGAGAAAGAGAATGGAGTCTCCCAGTCCCCAGGAAGAAGAGCCCTTAAGTATTTCTGTTGTGTTGGTTCACTGAATTACCTACTGCTTCATTTTTTTGTGCTGGATTATTTTTTTATATTAAATAAAGTTACAACTGTTTTTGACAGAACTCAGATACTGAAATGTGGTTTCAGGTAATAGGAACGGTGGCTAAGCTCAGGCTTTCGTTAAATGTTAGCTCACGGCCTCAGAGCGAAAGGAGTACAGCCTATAGGATGTAGTCAATGTTTACTTACCTTATTTGCTTCCCTGAAGTACAGTATGAGCTCGCCAGACTGGTCTGAACTTTTTTGGGTGGGAATGATTAATCCATTTTTTTAAATGATGGAAATGAGCAGAACATGCTGGATGACTTTTGTCCCACCTACAGCCAGATGTAGATGCACAGCTATGGGGCAAATTTTAAAATGAATTCACCCTTATCTTGTGATGCATTGTAAGAAAGTATTGCTGGCAAACTTTTTCGTAGGTTTTATATTGATTTTTAGAGGTTGCTCAGCAAGATCAAAGTTTGTGACTGTAAATGATCAAATTATACTAAATTTCAGCGAAACTTTCCTGAAAACTAAATGGTTACAGCAACAAAGATTATTATTTACGTGCAAAAAAAAATTCACAAATAAGAATAAAACAAAGTGGAGTCTGTAATCAGTGACCAATAAATTGACACTATGTTCAAATACTGGCTGCGGCATAGTTTAGCCATCCGCTATCGGTAATACTCGTCAATCTCAACGATCAATTCACTTGATTGTTAGCAAAAGTGTGCTTTTTTTGCAATTTAGCATCAAGGGTGCTCTCTGCCATCCATTTTCTGAAACTTCTGTTACTGTGTTACTGACGGTGGATGACCAAACTAGGCTTTAGCCATTGAAGCTGCCTCAGCAACCTCTAAAGTTGTTTGAAAAAACCATCAAAAATGACTGTATAAGATAAAATTACGGGGTGACAACTAGAATTTTCAAATTTTCATTTTTAAGGACCACCCTAATGTGCACATATATTTTGCCATTAGTTTTGTTTTTACTTTTCTTTTGGGACCATCTTTTGGCGTATGCCGGACCACTGCGGACTCCAAATGCAGTGTCCTGGCCTCGTTTCCCCTCCAGCTATTCCTCCCCCCTGCGGACTCCAAATGCAGTGTTCTGGCCTCGTTTTCCCTCCAGCTATTCACACCACTGCGGACTCCAAATGCAGTGTCCTGGCTTCGTTTCCCCTCCAGCTATTCCTCCCCCCTGCGGACTCCAAATGCAGTGTCCTGGTTTCGTTTCCCCTCCAGCTATTCACGCCACTGCAGACTCCAAATGCAGTGTCCTGGCCTCGTTTCCCCTCCAGCTATTCACGCCACTGCTAACTCGTGCTGATTATCTAGCCCAGGTGCCATCGCCCATTTTTGTCTGACTCACTTCTCTGCATTTTAGATGCTTGATTTGGGGCTTTTTTTAAATAAAAAAAAAATATATTTTTCACTTTTGTTTTAAATAAAGGGCTTTTCAAGCAATTTTATGATGAATGAAATTTAAAAACAAAAAAATATATATTACAAGTCAGTGACATTACAGCTTCCAATAGACGTGAATCATCACTGGAACCAATGAAAACACCTTATCAAAGTTCATACTGGTGAATGGGTACACACTAGTGACAGAGTCAATATCACTGGTAGAAAAACATCCTAGCAGCATGAAATCGGTAAGCGGAGCGTGGCTTTTTCTACTTGAAGTACTGTCTTTTTGCAGTTGTAGTATAAACATTCTTCTTCTGCCTCCTGTGCTCCTTACAACCACACAAACTGCAGAAAAGGCCAAGACTACAATGGTTTTACTCGGTACCTAACAATGCCTCTAGGATTATTAGGGGGAAAGACCGGATTTCCTTTGGCAGGGCATTGGGATGATGCTAACACTTTACATGAAAGGGCACAGATACTTAGTAATAAAATCATTTACTACTGCTGTACAAATCATGAACAAATATAGTTGCTACTTGAGATAAAAATGTCACAATTCATTAATGATGAACAAACATGAGATCAATATTTCACTTGTGTTATTTGTTCCTTCAGAAGTTCCTTGTTCTTTAGTAAGTTCAGTAGTTCACAGGATTTACAGTACAGTAACAAATACAGTAACTGCCCAAGATAAAACATCTTATGATTCATTAATGAATTATCATGATATCAGTATGTAACTAAGATTTAGTTTGTGGTTAATGAATGCATAAGTAGTAGCATAATACTTATTATTATTTGTGCCCCGTGAAGTAAAGTGTTGCTGTGAAGGTGTATGACAGAATGTTTCTGTTCTCTAAGGAGTATTTGTGAGACGTGTGACACTGGGATGTGTGACTGGGATGTGTGACACTGGGATGTGTGACACTGGGATGTGTGACTGGGCACTGTGGTGTCCACCCCGCCTGCCTGGAGCCGTATGTTCAGTCTTGGCATTTTCCCCCAGTGTGACTTCTCTTACTGTCCAAAATCACAGGGATGATCAAATCGCTGTCTCCACACTGTCCTTGTGGTATGAACAGCGTGGGTCCTGAGAAAGACGGGCATCCCGCCTGGGGTGTCCTCCGTGCTGCCTGAGATCCAGACACATTCCCCCGTCCTGAATAAATGGTTTTGGAAGATGGATGGATATAGGCATGTGGAAAAAAATTGCTAGGTGCGGAAGATAAGCAGACAGAAGAGCTATGAATGCGTAAGTCACTGGTAACTGTCAGGTAGCTCTAAAATGAGCACGGATCCCCTAATCCTGTGTCACAGTCACCTCATACGCGTCACACCACAGAGGCATGGGGCCAGTGGCCTGTACTACGAAGCGGGGTTACGGGCTTATTGGGGTAACTTGCCGGATTTAAGGTAGTCTTGGCAAAATGTAAGTGAACGAATATGAAGTCCATTTAAACTGTGGTACCTTAAATCCAACAAGTTACCCCGATAAGCCAGTAACCCGGCTTCGTAGTACAGGCCACAGGCGATGTGACTTCACACTCATCCGAGGAGGAGGCAGGTTCTTCAGCTTCCCCAGAGTCCATCGTCAGTGGGGGTCGCTGCCTGAGACGGGGGGCTGGCCAGGGGGGTCCCTGCTTCCCGTGGGACTTGACGGGTCACCCACGGCGAACGTCACCTTCTCCTGTCCATCCGGACTGTGGCGATCACCCTGGCTTCCTCCTCCTGCCGGTTTAGGGTCACCGTCCGAGTCCAGGAATCGCTCACAGGAGTCAGAGCGGCCCAGAAGCTTGCCTGAAAAGAGCATGATTCTGAGGTTACCGACTGCATTACCAGCACAGCCAACAGGAGGCGCTGCATCACATTACAGCAAACTCCCCATGATGTTCTAGGGTTTCTTTGGTAAATGACACTGCTTGGGGTTAGCAGATGGCTGCACCGGTACAATGCGCAGGACATGATGAGTCACGCCAGCACCCCTTCAGCATCTGCCGCTGACCCCCGGATCCCATTTCCCATCATCAATCAAACAGCGTGACCAATGTGCATTATTAGTGTCACCGAAATGTGACACTTCATACCCACTGAAAAACGGCAGGTTACACGGCAGCATGCAAGCGGGACTTTCGCCCTTTAATTAATCTCACCGCATGGATCTGTGACGTGACTGTGGATCGGGGAGGTGGGCTGACTCGAGTCACCAGACCCGACCGGAAAGATGAAGCCGTAGAAGACCACGAGCATCTCCACGATGCGGGCCTGGTGCGGGTAGTCGACCAGCGAGGACAGTGTGACGGTGGTCCCAGTGGGCCGCGGCCTCATCAGCGTGGGCCCGAACACGATGCCTAGGTTGCTGGGGCTCATTTTGTTGTGCTCCTCCAACGCCGCCACCCTGAGGGGGACAGAGGTACTACGTGACATTCGGACCAGAAGCCGGGGTGGACTCGCCACACTCTTCCGTGATAACACATCAGAATAAACGGCTGACGTGTTCCATGGAAAATCGTGGCCACGTACACTGATTGGCCACATAATACGGCATGCCTGCTCGTCAATGCAAAAGTGCGAATCATGTGACTGCAACTCAAAATATAAAGCAGACAGAAGTCAAGAAGGTCAGTTACTATTGGGCTGAGCATTAGAATAAGAAAGATAAGGGATTTGACTGATTTTGAATGTGATCACTGGGAACGACGCGGTTCCACTAGCTTCTCAGGAACAGCTGGCCTCCTGGGATTCCCATCAGCTACAGTGACTGGATGGAAAGATGTTTCCGGTCGGCTGCTGTGGAGATGCCCACCTTCGCAGGTGGCTTACGATGTAGCGCAGAATGGCCAAGTTTGGCCGCGGTAGCTCCTTCACCAAATCCCGCAGCTTGTCCACGAGCAGCAGGAGGTCGGAGTCCGTCTCTGAGCCCAGGTCCACCAGGCCCTTCCCAGGTTCCTCTCTATCAGGAGGTTCTGCCTGCAGGCTCTCCTTGGCTAAACCCATCAGACGGCTGTAGAGTTGGAACGGCATGATAGGTTCCGGTAGCTGTAAAGGTAATTTGGGGGGGGGCATGGGGAGTGTTATGAATGATGCTCCTCAAACTTCAGCAGAAGGTACCGGAAGGAGCGCCGGACACACACCTGCCGCAGATACAGCTTGAGCACGTTGCTGATGTCATGCGGGAAGGCATGCGAAAGCTCCACCAGCTCCATGCCGTTCTCGAAGGCCTGGCAGAGCTTCTCCACGCGTGTCTTTACCCCGTTCACCCTGTAGATACCCTAGAGGGGCAGAACGCATGAAGCCGGGGCCTGGCGCGCGGGTCGGGTCGGGTCGCACCCCTCGACACCTCCACCACCATTCCTCACCTTCATCTTCAGCGCCCTGCTTTCCATCTCCAGGATGCACTTCTTGATGATGAAGGGGACGCCCTCAGCGCTGCAGTGGGCATTCTGGTTGAAGTCCCGTCCGAAGAGATGAAGGCGCCCCTGCAGCTTCCTGTGCCCACACTGGATGGCCAGGCTCTCCAGGCACTTCTTATGACAGGCCAGCAGACACTGTGGAGGAGGGGGGGAGGAGCTTCTGGGTGAGCGTCACAGGTGATAGACAGGCATGATGGACCAATGGTGATCTACGCCTCCACGGGCAGCAACATGGGGGGCGGGAGCTCACCTCCTCGCACTCAGCCCCCTGGAAGTACACGTAGCTGTCACACTCCCTGCATTTGGCAGGCGTGCGCAGCTTGCGCAGTCGGTGCGTCTGCGCAGCCTTGGACAGGCCCACGTTGCGGAACGGCCCCGTTGGCGTCGCGATCTCGGGTTCGATGCCGTTCATGCCTGCCAGACAGAACCAGTTCAGACCAGGTGTCCCACCCATTTCTGGTGCGCCAGTTGAGGGTCTGTGAGAGGGATTATACTGACGGCATGACAGCGGACTCACTGTGTTCAAAAGACACAATGTTGTTCTCTTTGTCATCCAGCTCCTCCGTGGAAGACATGGTCCCACTGGAGAGGGTCCTGGGAACCATCCTGACATCCCCTGAACACGACGGCACCATGGTACCTCTGTCAGTGCCGGCTGACTTCCACAGAATCAAATGAAATCCCGGAGAATACGAAACGGCCGAGTACAAGGCGCCAGCTAATTTGCCATTACCAGTACCTGTGCTGCTCGTGGGTGATCCCAAACCGCTGTGGTCACCCATGCTGTCCGTGTCGTTCAGTACCGTAGGCCACGATTTGTTGGGCTGGTGGCCCCGCCCTACGGCGCGAAGGGAGGAGGAGACGGTGATGATCACAGTGAAGCCTCCTCACTGGAGGTGAAGTCGGACACACTCCCCATTTCCCGGCCCTCACCGTGTTTCTGCTTACTGCCGGCAGCGGAAACGCCTTCGCCACGACCCACCGGGCTCGAGGATTCAGCACCGTCATGGCTCTCTGCGTTCATGCTGTCAGTGCAGGGTTTGGCAGACCTGGAAACCAGTTCATATCAGAATGTTTCGTACCGTCGGAGAAAGCATTAAACTCTATTTCAATTCAATTGAATTTATACATATATAGCGCCTTTCACGACACAGGTGCCGCAAGGCATTTGACAAGACAATTTGCCAATACATTAGTATTTCTCGTATACTAAACGGTACAGGGCACAGGGACAAAGACATGTGAACAATACACACTGCGACACAGTGCCAGTGACAGGTGTCCACTGAGCCACAGTGGGCAGTGAGCGTGATTCAGCGACAGTGAAAACAAAAGGCCCATTATGTGAGAGGAGTGCAGCACTTACTGCATGGGGGAGACGTACGGCTCGAAGTCGTACTGCACCTCCGACTCCTCGGCGGCCGAGAGCCCTTCGACGTAAGCGGCGTACCGCAGGCCCGGCTCGTACAGCTTGCTGCTCTCGCAGAGGGCCTGGTAGTGTACGGGCAGGGCCACCGTCTGCAGGTGCATCACCTGGCAGTAGGACACGGTGGCCTGGGGAAGGGCGAGCCCAGGGGTCAGAGGTCAGAGGTCAGGCCTTGGACCCACCCACCCCTGAGCCCGGGGGGAGACTCACGGATCGCAGGGCCTGGTCGCTCTGCCTGATGACGTCCTGGATCAGCCGCAGCACGGTGACCTTGGTGTCCTCCAGCTCCTGGTACTGGGTCTTGGCGTCGGCGACGCAGGTGCGATAAGTGGCCTCGGCCTCCTCCGCCTGCGAGGGACAGACGGCTGTTAAGGTACAAATCCCAGACAGCGACCTGGACTGGCTTCTGCTCTGCGCCGCAGATGGATGAGGAACACACAGGTATGACCTCAGCCTCAGTCTATAGTATAGTACCTATTGAGCCAACAGGGGGCATTATTAGGTAAACAGGCATCTGGTGAATTCTGGAAAGATGGTGCTGTGTGATTCCTGATTTGTCAGCCATGTTCTTATACCCAGTTTATATTAAAACTGAACCAGTAAAGTGGGGTTTGCATTGTTTGCTTTCTGTTTGATTCATTCTTTGATCTGAAGACACTAGACAGACAGACAGACAGACAGGCTTCTCAGTAGGCAGCGTGTGTGTGTGTGTGTGTGTGTGTTTGTGTTTGTGTGACCTTGCCACGCGCTTCCTCCTCATGCCTCCGCTTCCTGTCCAGCGTCTTGGCCGCCGAGCCACCACCTTCCTCCTCGGCCCGGCTGGCCGCCCCCTTGGCCTTGTCATACTCCTCGCACCGCGTCTGGTACACCTGCTTGGCTTTGCGCAGGTTGCTTTCGGCCTCCGCCTGAAGGGTGGCGCACATGAATAGTTGTCACGCAGGGGTGGTGGGGGGTCGGTAGCCAGGTGGGCGTGTCCTCACCAGCTTCCTACGGGCGCGCTGCCACACATCCTTCAGCTCCTTGCACTTCTTCTCGTGATCGAACTTGCGCTGCACCAGCGGCTATGGGCGGAGACACGTCCCCCATCAGCACTGGTCCCACATGGCCACACCCCCCCCCCACACACACACACACAGGCCACGCCCACCTCACCTGGATGAAGTTTTGGACATGCAGGGTTCCCGAGGCCTGCAGAACCCCCAAGCTCTGCTCCTGGTCCTGCTCCAAAGCCAGGTTGTAGACAGACATGAACGGCATGTGCGGCTGTGGGGGACAGAGGCCATGACGACACATGACCACAGGACCGCCCTGTCACCTTAGCTAAACCGTTTCTGTGTTTCGACAGTCACATGACTGCTCATTAAGCCATGAGCGTTTACCTGCTCAAAGCTCAGTTTACAGGCTTGGTAGATCTTCTGCAGGCCCCTGGCAAATTCCATCTCTATGTAACAAAAGAGAAGCGACAGGAAAAACAGTCAGTGACACATCCTAATATCCGCACAGTGGCTTACTGTCTCACGTTCAGTATCTAGGTGCTGTACTGCACAGCCTGCTTCCGTTTTGCTTTTAGGCGATGCTAAATCCTGACCTGGTATGACAAAACATGTATTTACTTACCAGCTGATAAAGATGTAAAGCAAAATATGGAAGTTTACACATTTCAACATTTAGAAACGGTTATCTGCAAAATCCAGAGCTGGTGATTTTCAGTGCATGACCGCTGTGCAGTACAGGGTCCCAGTGATTCTGCAGCAGTAAGCGCACAGCATGCATTCTCAGACACACCAGGCACACTACAGGAAATCTAGAGATATAACTGACTGCATATGCCTGGGCTGTGGAAAGAAACTGTGCAAACAGTAAGTTAAACTGCTGACTAACTGGGCCCAGCTGCCCCATCATGGTTTTGCCTCAGTGGGGAGTTTCCATCATGACAGATTTCAAACTACCCACCTAGAGCTGATCTTTTCTCCACGTAGCCAATCACGTCCTTCATGCACTTGGAGAGCCCCTTGGCGTAGCCCAGGGCGGACTCCACCCCCCCCTCACTGCGCTGCAGGACGATGTCCACCTCCTCGGCGCTCAGGGCTGTGGGACACACACACAGGGGCTGCAGTGACCTGCAGTGCACCCTGGCACAGGCCCCGTCGGTACTCAGGTCCCCACGGCAACAGCCTCCCACTTCCTGATACTGCCTCATTGCAATCTCAACCGGCCAATCAGGTTTGGAGTTTGGAATATTATAGCCCAAAGCCCCTCCAACCCTTTCTGAGTGATTCAGAGGAGGAGAGAAGCATGTGACAGTATAGAAGGAGGGATAGAGAGAGAATAAGAGAAGGAACTGAATGGACCCACAGCAAAAGAGAGAAAGTGTAAGGAGAAGATTCCTACTGGTATGTGGAGGGTCGTTCGGACTTAGCGATGAGTTTGTCCCCTTGCCCGACACGGATCCGTACAGGTTCTCCAAAGACTGCGGGGGTGACAGACAATGACTTCAGGACAGAGGAAGCAGGTCAGCATTTCAGCATTTCAGGAGGTACAGAGCTGGACATAATGTCGGCATTATTAATACATCATTCTCAGCTTCAATAGTCAGGACCTCAGGATGTTTTAATAGAATATAGAGTCACACAGTAAATGTGTGTGAATATACAGTCACACAGTAGATGCGTTCAGTACTTCTGGGTTGATGCAGAATGGTAATACTTCAAATTTCTAATTATTATTAATATTTATATGGGGTGGGGTAACAGAATTTCCCAGGCAGAGCTCCCCCCCCCCCTATTCCCAGCAGTCACCGGGATTCGGCACTGAAGCCTCTTATCTTCACGCTGCCTGACACTGCCAGGAAACCGCGCGCGTGCAAACCGCCAGCCTGGTGCGCCGCGTCGCCATGCCGACGGCAAAAACACCGACTCACCCTGCTCCTCTCGGTAGGCAGTAGGGAGAGGAGGGTGCTGCTATCCACCTCCCCCATCAGCAACTCTGACACACTGCAGGGGGCGGGCGAGGGGGCAGGGAGAGAGAGAGAGAGAGAGATGGGCAACGGGGAAGCAGACAGGAAGAGGAAGAAGGGGAAGAGAGGGAGATGAGAATATGAGAGATCATTAAGGCTGAGCCAGGCATCACACCGCAGAAAACACACCTTATATTCAACCGGATCAGACCGGCTTTGAAAAATCCTGGCTGACATGAGATCAAAGAAGCACAATCATTCAGTCTTAGGATGACTCTCTGAGTGAGAGTGCCACGTTGACAGAGCCCTCTGGCCAGTCTGACCTCTGACCCCAGCGCTCAGCTGACTGCCTACCAGCCCCTTACATGCCCCCCCCCCCACCCCACATCCTATTTCTCACATGCAGATCCAGTGCGACCCCCTCCTACTCTCCGTTGAGCTTCTGCTGTTCTCTCATCCTACCGTCACCTCATTATTATGTGTCCAAATTCTACAGTAATTATGGTAAAAATCCGGCATGCGCTATCGACACACGCAAGTACTAATTAAGCACATTTAATCTTGGGCACGGGAATATCCTAAACAATCCTGCTCTCAATGGCTCTTTACCCTAAACAGTATGTGTGCCGTGATAATTTAAGAGGGGTTAGGCTGCTAGTAACCAAACAACATAATCAGGAACAACAGCTAAATAATGGCTAAATGATTTAGGAACAGATAAAAAAGGGAGAGTTACATACACAGAAACATAAGCAGCGAGCAGCTGTGACTCACAACCGTGTATGTACATGTTACAGGAGTCACTGATGCCATGAATGGAGTGTGAGCCTGTAAGGGATTTCACACACACACTGCAGCACATAAATCCCTCTCACTCTCACTTATTATTATGGTGACGCTCACCACAACTCAATATACAGTCACACACACCTCAAAAAAGCATCATCAGCTGTTTTTTTTTTAATATATATTATATATACACACACACACACTATCTTTAGAAAAAGATTTGTGAAGTCCATTTCCCCTAAAACGCTGCTCATGTTTACAGACATAAACCAAGAAATCTGAGAAAAGACCGATAAGCATCAGCAGACAGGGTCAGGTGATTTCTAATAAGGTGTTCTAAGTGACTGTGAGGCTTCCTGTTTCTGGTTACTTCGCCGCACGGCCCACTTCCTGTTTACTCTCTGCTGGAGGCAGAGTGGGGACTCTCTTTCAACGGTGTCTGACTGCTCGCTGGCTTTCTCTGCCGTCTAGGGGACAGGGGCGGGGGGGGGGGGGGGGATCGGTGAATGAATAAACCCTGAACCTCTCACTAGAAATGGCAAATGGAACTTCATGGCACAGGCTGAGATCGGGGGGGGGGGGGGGGGGGGCCCCATGCTGCCTGCTGGGTGACTGGCTGAGCAGAGGTATTAGTTACAAGGCGGTTCCAGTTCGCTTCGGTTTTCCACTGCAGGAGGGCCGCCTCCCAAAAGGCGTCGCCCGGGTTTGGAGAGCCACAGTAACATAAAACCGAAGAGAGGCGATTATGTACTGTGTACATCATGATTTACTGTGTGCTAATTTCCCAATTTTCTAGCACATCTGTGAGAATCACCGTGTTATGCTAGCATGAAATGCTAGCGGAATTAGCTAATTCATGCAACTCAGTTCTTGGTGGCAGTGGAAAAACCACAAACAGGCACAGGAACTTATACTCATAAACAATATTCAACTTATATAAAATACCCATAGAAATAATAACTTGGTAGCTTTCTTCCCATCCATCCATCCATCCATCCATCCACCCACCCATCCATCCATCCATCCATCCATCCAATCAGAACTTCCAATAAACCCCACACTGCTTTTTGGGAGCCCCCAGAGACAACCACCTGCTGCTGAAAGCCACGGCGATCATCTCCACAGCCTTCTCAAAGTCCTTCTTCTCCATGTCGCTGCAGCCTTCATAATGGAACCCTGAGAGCAGACACATGCAGGCCGCTGCTGAGCATCACGTTCCCATTCACCAAACATTCCTCTCACCGCTGATGAACTTCAGGACTGAGGGGCTCTGGCTGTACTCCGCCTACCTTTCACCTTGGAGATGAGTCTGCCGGCTGCAGTGAGGGTCTCCACTGTGTTGAGGAGGGGGTATGCTCCAAACACCTGCCTCAGGATCCGCAGCACCTCTCCCAGACACTCGTGAGCCAGGGCCTGCCGGTTCTCCCGCTCGTCTGCGGGGAAATCAGGGCACAGAGGAGGCCGGGAGTCGTGAGAGGCCGCTATGAGTCGTGGGGCACAACCGGTTCCAGCAGCATTGCTTGTGGGTCTCCAGAGAATCCGCTTACACTGCGGAGCTGCGACTACAACCTGAGACACAGAGCTGGGAACCTGCACGCAGCCAGAAGATGTGCATTTCCTGCTTCTGTCTTGTTTTCAGATGACGGGGCAGCCTCACATAGGTCATGTCTGCCAGCCCCCCCACCCCCATCCCTCTCAGGAGGCAGCTTAATGCAAAAAGTATCCTAGGCTATATCGCGGGAAAAATCAGGGCGCCCCCCCCCCCCCATTGATAAGTTTTAGCAGTAATGAGCGGTAATGAGCGGATTACTGCTGCATTGTTTTTAAATCTCTCTCGTTTCACTTTCAGCTAAAAAAAAGCAGCTCAAGTAACCGGTATCAGGCTGGGGCCCCCGGAGATGGTGACCGCGCCCCTCTGGTCTGAGTCCTCAGGGGGGCTGCAAGTCGGCACCATGACCTCCTGTTTAAAATGACACTGCAGAACGGTGCTGATGACTGGAAAACCTAACATCGTGCACTTTTACAAAGACAGGAATTTGACAGAATACTGCAATCTAGCAACTCTACAACACTGATTACCGGTACATATGGGATTCATTGATGGATGTGAAATATCCTTGTAAACAGGTCCAATTATCCAAATTAATTGTGAGACATTCAACTAGGTGTTTTGTTTTAGCATTACACAATTCTCCAGTCTTTTGTTGCCCCTGTCCCAACTTTTTTGAAACATTCTGATACATTGTCTCTGTTCTATTTTCAATTAAATATGGGTTTATATGGTTTGCAAATCATTGCATTGATTTATTTACATTTCACACAGCGTCCCGACTTTTTTGGAAACGGGGATGCAAACAGGCCTTTTCTTAAAAACCTTTTTGCCATTTCCGTTGCATTATCTGGCTGCTCATAGGGGGACATGCCAAGTTATTGCACCTTCTGCTATATAAACAACGCAATTACAGAGAGAAAAATTAAGAGAATACTAAATTATCCACAGTTGAGCTGTTTCGCAGTTCATTCTTTATTCCCACGACTCAAATCATCATGAAGTTGTACCATGATGTATCATCGCACGACAGGATGTTACGGGCCTAACATTAAAACACAGCTCAGAGCTGATTTAACTTGAACTCAGAGCACACATAGAAAGGCATATTTCACATTCAATATTCATATTACTTCATCTGGCCTCTGGGACACAATGAGGTGACTCGGTTTAAAACACACCCCTCCCATAACAAACCCCCCGCAGCCCTTCCTGTTCTATTACACCATGTTCTTAAAGATAACCCTAAAAAAACAGACAGGAAAACAGAAAGACTTCTTATCTAAAAGTAGATAGTATGATCTATAATGTCAGGTTTTATACAAACCCCCCCCCCAAATAAATGTACACTAATTAAATAGAATAGCTCATTCATTTTCAAAAACATCCATAAAATGTGACATGGCATCAACAGCTGCCTAGGACACTAGGACCCAGGGGATTACTATGACTTTGTACATGTCACTGGGGGCAGAGCCCCCTATGGGTCAGATCCCGGAATTGCCCCTGACAAACACATACACACTAGTGATGCGCGGGTCGGGTATTTTTCCAACCCGTGTGTCCCGCTTTTATGAAATTATTTGGCCCGCCCCAGCCCGCCCCGCAAATAAAGTGACAATTTCTTTACCCGCCCCAACCCGACCCGCGGGTTACGAGACGACCCGCGCATCACTAATACACACGTGATACTGATTCTATTACATATGCACTAACACAAATGAAACACAACAGTGGCGGTGATATCACACCTCAATATCGCGACAACAGGCATATATAGGTTCCTGTCGGGTCATTGGTTTGGCGTATTAGCCCCCCCCCCCCGCGATGCTGTTGGCGATGCAGGCTTGCAGGCTCCACCCCTGGGCGGCACGTGGCAAACACAGCACCGGGGCTGCCGACGGATTTCGTAGAAAAGCACGGCGTTTTCTAAAAGCTGCCAGGGCTTCCTGCAGGAGTGTGGCTTTTCTGCAGAAGCACTTCGGCGTGAGGGGGAAGGTCGCGCTCCCTTGAGCGGAACATCACGCTGCCCTCAGTCCGACTCGGCACGTGCGGTTCGGACGAAATCGCACATCCTTCGCGTTTACGTAAAAAGGTCTCACGCCATGCCGTGTTAAGTCAGGGTGACCATGCATCCTCTTTTTGGTGAACCGAAAAAAGCCAGAAATATCTGAGATTTCACTTTGTTTCATGATCACGTTTGTTTTCTTCAGTCAGAATACTTCCTGTGTGCATATTCGCTTTGTTCTGACGCCTCTCTTTGCGACCGGACTCACCCTAAATAAGTAGCACTGCTTGTCTATGAAGTTGCTGCCCTAAATGTTTTTATGTTGCAGTTTTGTTCCTTGAATAGTCCTATTAGGTTCCTGCTTTGTTATAAGTCTGGTTTATCTCCTGCTCCAATGCTGCTTACACTCATACCTGGGCTTTCATTGGAGCTCAGCTTGACCGAACTCATGCTCAGTTGACTCCTTTCGACAACATATATGTTTGTAATGTGCCATTTGCCTCACTTGTATGGCGCTTTGGACAAAATCATCCGTTAACCAAAAGTAAATGTAGAGTTTAACGGTGAGGCCTGCAACCGGGACCCCTGACCGCAGTTAGCCGCAGCGCTAACAGGGTGGAGAAGGCGAGCAGCGGGACGGGACGGCGTGAGCATCTCACCTCCTGCCAGCACCACGTCTTTCAGCTTCTCCACGGCCTCGGCAAAGCAGGCCACCTCCTGGAGCAGCGCGGGGATGTCCTCCGCCTCGATTGCCGGCCCCTCGCCGCAATCCGGGGGGGCGTCCGGAGCGGCGACGCCTCTTCGGAGGCCTTTGCTGAAAACCCAGGACTGCACGGGGAAGCCGGCGGTGCTGGACTGGTGGCAGGTGGAGGAACGCCTGAGAGTGGCCATGGGGGAGGCGCTTCCGGGTAGCCGGGCATGCTGGGTCAGGGGGGTCCCCGGGCAGGAGGGGGACGGGTTCGAATGGCTGGAGGGGGAAGCGTTGGGGGGATCCAGCACGTCCTGGGCAGGCTGCTCCTGGAGAACTGACAGCTGGGAGACACAGTGGAGAGGGAGGGGGAATGAGTCACACAGTCGATCAAAATACTGCTGGGCGAACTGGTGAAATTGTCCCTGGTGTGTGAGTGTGAGTGTTAGTGCGAGTTTGGGTCGTCACCACACGCTCATTTTCTCTTTATAGCAGGGCTCTTCAAATCTAGCTCCCCATTCCAAATCCAGGCCATGTCCTCAGTTCCCCCAGGCAATTAGCTTAATAATGACTGATTCTGATTGGCCACAGAGGCTTCAGACCTGGCTCACAGGTAAAGGAAGGCTGGGAAATGAGCCTTGAGGACCGTGATTTGAATAGCTCTGGTCTATACAATCACGGTAGTTACAATAAATTGTATGTCTATTTTAAAAAATAATATATAGATATACATAGTGAAAAGTAAAAGGTCTCCTGCTGACTTCTAAACAATATAAAATGAAAAAGGTGGAGAGAAAATACAGCAAAATATGTTTGAACAGAAGAAAAGGCAGCAAGCATTTTTCAGCCTTACCCACCATATCTAAGTGACCTAGCAACATGAAATACAGTGTTCATTACCGTTACTGTATAAATCATCCTGCGTAACATACAATTCATTCTCATAACATATTACTTTTGTCAATTTTTTTTTACATTTTTTGAAGATAGATTCAAATAATACAACTTAATTATATACATTGTTGATTTTCACTCTGGGGTAGTTTTATTATAATACTTTGAGAATTTGGTGATCAGTGGTCATTGTCAACACACCACAGCACACAGTGTGCAACAACGAAATGTGTCCTCTGCATTTAACCCATATGTGACATAGCAGGGGGCAGCTAATTCAGCGCCCGGGGAGCAGTGCTTGGGGGCGGTACCTTGCACAGGGTACCTCAGCGGTGCCTTGTTGGTCGGGGATTCGAACCTGTAAACTTTCAATTACAAGTTTGCTTCCTTAACCATCAAGCCACCACTGCCCTATATAACCTTTTATAACAGGTATAAATGGTATTTCATCAGATCCATGGGAAGAGTTACAAAGATGATAAAAAATGTAAAAACTAGCAAAAAAAAATAGCAAGACATTTAAACTTATCATACAAATTGATTGCGTATATGCAATGTAGTTGAAACTATAGTTTTGTGCTATTTGATCTTAAAAGTCTTACAGAAATAAGATTTTTGGCTATCTATTTGGAGAATAATCATTAAATCAGAGCAACAACTGACAATTTTAATACGCCTAAAACTTAAGGTAATGTCAATTGCCCTACACAAAAAATTGCACAATGCATTTCACCGTAACACTGTATTTCACTGTAAAGTTTGTGAGAATGACCTACACATGCCGTATGATGGTCACGTGGTGTGGCACCCCATCCAGAGTGGAGCCCCCTGCCTTGTGTCCTATCGTACGTGGCAAAGCTACGGCTCCCACATGCCGGATAAGATGGATGCATGGATGTATGTTAAAGATCAGCCCATCAGAAAGGACGCAAAATACAGAACTACCTGTGGCTGAGAAACTGCAGCACGGAAGAGGGCGCTTAAGGCCACGTACTTAAAACCTGAAAATGGTTGTTTCCGTTCCCCAGTGTTGTGCGCATGAGTAGAGCACTTAACCTGAAAAGCGCTATTCCAACATCCAACAGAATAACGGAGTGAGGATTTGGATTAAGATTCGTCAGCCGAGGAACGAAATGTTACGCAAGACTAACGAAGGATTTTAGAGAGCAATATTAAAGGCAGACACTGGGAACTGGCGATCTCGTTAGACCCATTAAAAAATTACAGCAGAATAATCCGAAAACATCAATAGCGCAGAGAAAAGGAGGACGCGGATGTAATGTTTCATGTTAGTAAACAGATGGTACTCAATACGCTGCTGCTTAATACGGCCCATTACCTAAAACAAGCACCACAGCCACTTTGCAGATGATGCATGGGCCCCTAGGAGAAACATCATGCTTCACTTTAAATGCTATACTATATGCTGCTATATTATAATTAAATGATCGCTTGAACAAGATTTTTTTATATATAAAAAAGTAAAATACAACATAATAAGTCAAGAAAAATAAATATAACCTAAACTCGGTACTAAGGGGATAAGGTTAATAGAATATATATGTGCAAGTATCTACCGAATTAATAATAAATGATGCTAGGAGTGGAGGCGCGTCGCCCCTTCTGCAATGTGACAGGAAGACGCTGCTGCCTCGGCTGGGGCGAGAAGCTTCCGCAAAACGGCCAGCGACCTCGGCGTCCCCGCGTCAGTGTGCGGGAAGTGGCGGGGAGATGTGGCTCCGGGAGGGCAGGCGGCCACCTGCCCGGGCCAGCCTCACCGTGACCCTATAGCTGTAGACCTGCACATATATCCTTATACTCTATATAGCAAAAAAGAAAAAAAAAGTTTATCCGCGCATGCAAAATTGTGTTCATTCATCAGGGATGTTTGGGTGTGGCATGAAAACAAACCATCCGCTTTATTACATGGTGACCATCTGCTAAGAAAATCACTGGGGATTAAAATGGAAATGCATAAGATCAAGCAATAACGTACTAATAAAATAAAGTGCTCCAAAGTGTTACAGGCGCTTACCTGCTTGAGCCACACGTTGGGTTTATTCGGCAGGATGTCCAGCTTGCTTTTCCCCTTCGGTTCGCCCTTCTTGCTCTTGTGGTCAGTAACTGAGTACGGACTATAGCTCGATTTGCCCCCGACCCCACGTTTCATCATGGCCCTTAATTCACACTGTAATAAGTTAATCAGGACGAGGTGAAGCGCCTCATAGCAGCCGGGCTCGGAGTCCGGAATTAAGGTACCGCGACCGGTCCGTGTCAGCGCCAGCCAACAGAAACTAACGAAAGGGCATCGCTGCTATGAAAATAGAGCCCATTACTGAGAATAACCTTACTTGACTCAAAAAATACTCATTTGCAATATAACGCCATGCGACCTAGAAACCAGCGAAGAGACTCGGAAATAAAGCGTCTTACACGCAAGTTGCTCATAAGGGGGAAGGAAGAAGGGAGAGATGAGCAGTACTTAAATGACGGGTTGCGGGTTTCCTGCCCAGCTCTTGAACAACACGGGCAAGCATGTGGCCTCGATCGGCCCCAACCGGACTTTTAATGTCATTTTTGTTAATAATCATTTAGCATGCACCCCCCATTAAGACCCAAAGCTGTAGATTTGGTGGCCCTGATACACGTTTGACATTCACCTGCAGCGCAAAACCTTCTTCCTCATCTAACATACTAGAGGTTTGCATGGAATCGACATTTCTTTAGTTTGTAAGCTATTACAAGCAGGCATTCAAAGGGGTGGCAGGAAACAAATTAGTGGTAGAGTACCGAAATGCAATCGGACGCGATTTATTGGTGATTCAATAATTTTGAGCGATCGTTTTGTTACGTGTAAGCGGGTCAACGCAGAGCCGTTCAGAAGTATTCACTTTTTATGCAACTAAAAACAGAAATACTAACTGTGCTTTAGTGAAAATACATTTAATCTCTGAGAATCCACATTCCGAAAATGTAGGACAACTCATTTTTATTTACAAGTCCATTATTAAAGAGAAGGATTGATGTTTAAAGCCATGACTGTATTAATTCAAAAACAATTCTTCAAACCACAATAAGATCTTAATTTATACAAGTCTTTTTATTTAAAAAAAAAATGTACATTAAAAATAAAACAGGTTTAGTTATCCCTATTGCATGTTTTAAGTGTAGCAATGTCCTACTGTTTAGGTAATACCAATGGGTTGTTGGAACATCCCCTCAAATGTTCCACACCTGAATTCAAGATCTATGCTTCAAATGGCTGCAGTATCAAAGGTCACACGGGGGGGGCTGGGGGGGGGGGCAGTATAACTATGTATGTATAACTATGTACATCCATTCAGTTCTCTCTCAAAAGGAGGCTGTGCAGATGTTTGAAGTGCATACAGTCTATAATTCAGTGGCGGGGCCCCATTCGATGTCGTCAATTTCTTCGTTGTCGTCAGAGGTGTCGCTGCCTTGGATCTGAGTGCGTCTCCACTGTACGGCTTCTCTGTGGGCCAGCCTGAGACAGGGAGGGGTATAGGTTTGCATAAAAGCGTCATTCGTATGCGACACGCGTAAAATACCAAATAAAAGAAAAACAATACAGTTTTTCTGTAACTTAAAAACATTTTCGAAAGAAGTACTTACACGACGAATGGTGGAGGGGGTTTCTTTTCCTGCGGTTCTGCCATTCGGGTCTGGGGGGGGGGGTGGAATGAAACAGAGTAAAAGGTTTGACCCACAGACGGAGTTCAGGCATCACAGGCACAGCTGAGTAAATCACTGCCGATCTCTGACCTGCCAAACCACACGCCTCACAATCAGATATTTTACACTTCGTTCAGAGACCCTAACCGCCTTTCTACTACAGATACACACTTTATATATAGCACTATTAACCTTATATCACTTCTGAAAAAGTCGAAGACAGAGTGTTGAAGAGAAACATGTACATTTTACTAATGCAATTCACCAATTGAACAGGGAAATCCCGCCAACTCAGAGGAAGACACTGTCGTACGGCAAGCGCCAAGGGGAAAAATACATTCTGATCATATATTTATATATAGAATGTCTTACGTCCCTTGCAAGGCCAGACTTATGCACAGGTTAACCTGGGCTGTAGCCCAGGGCCCCCACATTTTTTCCCTGTTTGTCACAGCAGCATTTTATGCTGTAGATGGGGGCTCAGCGATGACTTTAGTCCTGGCTGGACTAATTTGTTCCTGGCCCCTTGTGTTTATACTCTTGTGTCGTTGCACTGGGATGCTCGAAATCCAAATACCACGACTGGCAATGAGAAGAATCTCGATCCTTGGAGTAACGTAGGATTTAAGAGACACTAAGTAGCTCAGACAATGTGCCTTTCGTTCTCCGTCTGCCTGACTGGCCCAGGACCCCACAGGCTGATGCCCACCTGCTGGAGTTTCTCCTCTATTGCCGAGAGTGAGGCTGGCTCATGGGTCTCTGGGAGGTCCTCTGAAGTGGGGGGCTCAGGGATCGATTCCTGGGAGGGGGGGTTCGGCGCTCGGAAGTCCGGCGGAACGTCAGACTGGGGGCTGGAGTCCGAGACCTGGACAGGGCTGCTGGGGGCGTGGGCGAGAGGCTTCGGCTTGGGCACATGCAAGATGGGCGGCAGCACCCGGGGAAGAGCCTCCGACACGGGTTCGAAGTCCTGAGTCGGGCTGTCCTGCCCTCTAGTGGGCTCCGAGGAACGGGCCACGCCCATGTTTCTGCGGCTCTCATGTCTGGGATAGTGGTCAGCCAGGTCTTCGTTGTCGGTGAAGGCCTCGCCGTCGGTATAGCCGTCCCCATCTGTGTAGGCCTCCCCGTCCGTGTCCTCGTAGTCGCTGGTGGCCCGGCTGTCACAGCTCAGGTAGTCGGAGGAGTTGGTGCGTGTCAGGGTGTCAAACTCCTCCTGTTCCCCGCCCTCCAGCTGCATGCACAGCGAGACAAGCCAACAGTTCAAAACAGGGCATAACCCACAAGACATTCCACACAGCAACTCCCTGCATAAGGACTCCACCCCTACGCACCATGACCTCGGACACCCAGACTGGTTTGGCCTGTTGCTGATGGATCTTGTCCTTGAGGACTTCATACCACACGTCGGAGTTGGGCTGAAGCTCAATACGCTCTAGGGCAGGTAGCGTGGAGCAATATCAGAAGGAAAATTAGCGTTTAATCGATGACCTCAACACCCAATGCCTTATGACTAAGCAGAGCAAAACATCTAGGCATTATCGATGTATTCAAGTGACCAGAAAAGGTACAGAGATGACAGCAGGGATGCCCACCACCGTCCCAGGGCGGGGGCTCACCTGCAAACAGGTGGCTGTAGTACTTGCGCGTCTTGCGTGCCTGAGCAAAGAGACGCCGGGAGCTCTTGTTGGAGTTCGGACAGAGCCTCTGCCTCATGACCTTCACGTCCTTGCGGCTGTGCGGGTCTAGGAACAGCACCAGCGGGTGGTACTGAATGTAGCTGAGCCGTTCCACGGCTGTGGGCGTTATATCCACCAGGGGGTGCTTGTTCTGCGAAAAACATCCAAAAAGACATTAGAGAGAGAGAGAGACTAAGAGAGTGAAATGGACAGACAGGGAGGCAGACAGACAGGTAGATAATCACTTGCTGTCAAACTGGCTACCGCATTAAACTGTCCCCACATCAGCTAATTTGGGAAACAGCAGGATGCCCCTTTTAATCACACTCACCTGCTCAGCTATCTGCCTCACTGTCTCCAGCTTAATGACGGAGGAGGAACCTTCACCTCCACTGCGAGGAACCATGTCTGTCCAAGAGCAAGAAAGTGGAACAAGGTTAAAGCTTTAATGCCATGTGAAATACAAGCCTCTCTTTGTTGATTTGAAATGTATACTTGGGCCGTCAATTATAGGCTGCATACCTGCCAGCTGAAATTCCTCAGGCATCTCGCTGGCCAGCTTCTCCATGGCAACGTCATTCAGAGGACCCATAATGACAATGGGGCGCTTAAAACTGGCTGTGAGAAACATAATCGGATCAAATTAAATAACATTTTTTCCCTGCAGAAATCATGGACGTTTAATAACGTCGGATACATTTCTTTCACCATTCTCACGCATAACAGTATAATTTCACTTAATTACAGCTTTGTCCCTCACTCGTGTTTCAGAATATCGTCACTGTCTGATGAAAAACGCTTTGTGACGATTGTGACTTTTTACTATAGATGGAATACGCCCATTCTCCTCTGTCTACTGATAGTGCTTCATATCTAATTGGCCAATAAAAAAAGTTTTGTGAAGTCATACATTAACTAGTAATTAATAATTAGTAATTACCTACTAATTAACATTTGTATTCATGACAGTCATTTGTATGAATTACCTTATATTGCTAATTTTAATAATGCTGATAGCTAGATTGCTGGCTAACTAGCTGACTAACCTCATTGCTAATTGTGAATATAAAGCGAGATTAGTTTCCATCTTCCTCCAATGACATGTCCTGCTAACAACAATCGTCTCCATTTAAAACATCAACCCACTGACGGCTGTGTAAAGGTAGGTTTCTCTTTGCGGTGCTAAAGATGTCTCAATACATTGTTTTATTTGCAATGCAGTTTGAGTAAGTGCATTTTTTCAAACTCTTGAAATAATTTTTGGAGATATTTTTCATCGAACGGCGATGATGTGTTAATGATTTGAGCAATAAGGCGGGATAACCACCGATGAAAAATCGATCGTTGACCTCCATCAGCTCTGCCTTTACCTTCTCTCAGCAGGACCTTCTCATACGCAGGGTATTTGCCCTGGATGGTGAGCTGAAGGAGATCTTCCCGACTCTTGCGGATGTTCTTCTTCGCCCCCCGCAGGCCCCGCAGCTTCCAGAATTCCGCCCTGGGACCCGAGCCCTGCCGCTCACTGCTGCCGGCCCTCTGGCTGCGCTCGAGGTTTGCTATGGTCTCCGCCCTGATACAGGAGGAGGAATGCCAGGTGGTCAGTGTCTTTCCAGAAGTGTTCCACTGTCACCACGGTAACCATTGTGTACTGAGGCAGCGACGCACCTCGCCTGGTTCGGGATGGTTCCCTTGTCAAGCTCGTGCAGATCGTTGCCCATGCGGATGGCAAGCCAGTTTCCCAGCTTGCCACGGTGCATGGTGTCCACGACCCGGAACACCTCACCGCGGGTGAAGCCCAGGCCGGCGGGGCCCTCTGGTTCGTGGTCGAAGTGCGTGCGAATGTAGATGGAGTCTCCCAGGCTGGACTTCAGGATCTTCTTGTAAACTGCCGGGGGGGGGGGGGGGGAAGCAGGACGTCACCACGAGGGGAAAAGTCATGGGGTCCTTTCTCACCCCCCCCCCACCTCCAGCCTCATGTACTCACTATCCATCTTGTTCTGACTGAAGATCTCCACCGGCTCCCCTTTGCGGAGGTTCAGCAGGAACATGGCAGCCTCCTCACGTGTCATGCGGCTGAAGTCCACGCCGTTCACCTGCAAAAGCCACGGCAGGGCACGGTAAACACAGGCGGGTTTGAGCGGGGGGGGGGGGGGGGGTTTCTCCTCCCGGAAACAGGCTGCCTCCCTACAGGACATCCACTACTTATGCAAAAAAACATCTCACTCTTACATATAGAATGGATTTTGCTTCTATACTGTCGAAAACAAAACATTGATCTACCAGCCAGGTTTAATATTGCATTATAAACATTTCGCAGGCAGGTACGTTTAAGCCTCTTATACGTGGTGAATGACAAAATTAACCCCTCGTCCTCCACTACGGAAAACGGCCGACAGTCCAATGCAGTCATCACCTGGCAGCTAACTGTGCTGCCAACTCAGAATATTGATAAAAGTTTAAGTATTGGACGGTAATTTTGGTATGTTGACCGATAAATAACGTTCCATCTTCAAAGACAAGATGTAATGTTTATTATTATTATTATTGTTATTAATATTTTGCTCAAGAATCATGAGAGAAAAATCATGATCTCAATTCTAAGTGGGAAAAAATTGTGCAGCCTTTCTCAGGTACTCTGCATGTAAGAGTATTTTATTTTAACTGGAGTATTGAAGTTGTTGTGCAGAATGTATCAGAGTACAGCGTTTGGCCTAGAAATGTTGCGAAGTGAAAGTGAAAGTCGCAACGAGTTAAAATACAAGTACAGAGTTCAGTAACTAATTATTTGTACTTACACCTCTGTTAATACATGACAGTAAATAATTAAACTATATGTTTACAGCAGGCTGCTGGTTAGCCTAACAACCCCGTTACCACTGCCTGATAATGAGCTTAATGATGTTATGCAAATCCTTCATGCTTCTCTGATTGTCAGGATAATCCGTTACGACCCACCCAGCATCCGATGTCCAGGGGACATTTTTTCGTGTTAAATCTGGTCGGCCCGTCATGCCCTTTATTTAGACCAAAAATTGGGCTGCTTTGTCTGTCTGATTTGGTACAAATTTACCCCAAGATGGGCATCTGATTCAGATCACATACAACCCATAACCCGTGCATACAGCCTTTTTATAGATGACTTTTCATCAAACTGAAAAATTGTGATTTTTCACCTTTTACTTTGCAACCAAATCTGAACATTGCTGAGACACCAGGCAAAGTGTCTTTTCAATGTCTTGTCAACTAGGTTTTTGTTGGGTGGAAAAACTGTATAACAAATGCAGCCAGCTCTGTTAGTCTGGACATACCCAACCTGTCAGAAAATGCATTAACAAAAAAATTAACTTAAAAGTTTTACTCTAAAAAACAGAAACTGCGAGAAGTTGAGCTGTTTTCCTTCTTCCTGAACGCCGGCTCACTGGGCTCTGACCTGCAGCATCTGGTCGCCCTCTTTCATGCCCTGCTGGTGCGCGGGGCTGTGGGGCTGCACTCCTGCCACGAAGATGCCCACATCGTTGCCACCCACGAGCCGCAGACCCACGCTGTTCTCCTTCACGAACTCCACCTTCCTCAGATCAGAGCTGTACCTGGAGAAAAAAAAGTCGGTTTGCCAGCATTTAAAACGGAAAATTATCTAGGTTGTAAACTGTAGCAAATCATGGATGGTGAACTAATAGTCCAGCTGTTAACTATGTATAACAAATCTATGATGTATAACAAATCTACACTGTTCCTATCCATATAATGGCATGTAGTATGTCACAGAATGGTCACTGTACACTTCCGACAGTGTGTGACAGTTTAGGATGAAAAACTCACCCAGCTGTTGGAAAGGATGGAATATCTGGTGAATCCGGGGGTAAGGAATAAAGTGGCTCTTCTTCATTTTTGGCTGAAAAGATAAAAGGCAATATAAAAGGAAGCAGTTTCTTTGTTCTCACAAGGGGGGCGCTAGAGAGTCTATCATCCACTCATCCATTTAGAGATACTGGGATATGTAGCTATTCCGCAGATGCATAGGATGTAAGGGCAAGCCAACAAACATTTATTTAAAAGCTTTCATTTATTTAGCAATTTTTTTTGTCCAACATTAGCAAGCAGGGTCAGCTAATGTCCCTGTAGCAGGTGGGGTTAAGCATCCAACAGTGATATTATTACCAGCTATGGGCTTTGAACCCATGACCTTCTGGACACAGGCCCAGATCACTAAACTGCTGAGCTACACATAATGCTATCTGAATGAAATATGAACTTACAGTAGCCTGTGGGACTGCGCGGCTCAGACATATTGGTGCGGAGGGCACCATTGACCGGAAAACTGCAAAGACATCGGCATCGATCTGTAAGCTACCAGCCAAACCCTTCCTCTCTGTATCCCTGAACACCGGCACCCAGGCCATGTGACATCATCAGACCCCGGGGCGTCACGGAGGACCCCCACGGGGGATAATGCGGACAGGATGTGACGTGAAGTACCTGGGGCTGATGTCGTACTCTGTGCTCTCGTACCTCTGAGGGGGGGAGGGGACACGGTCTGACCCCGAGGAATCTGGGGTGGAGTCAAACATACAGAGTGAGGATGGGCACCTGCATCTTCAAACGCCAGAGCAAAGACGCCCCCTAGTGGGGGCCAGCAGGTCAATTCTGCCCGTAACACAACTGGGCAGCAGGGGGCAGTACGGCGCAGGCTGACCTTCCTGGGGGGGTCTGTCGGGTGACGGGCTTCTTCGCAGGGGGTCTTGTCGGAGGGGCATGGGGGGTGACTGTATTTCGGGGAATACCCTTTGGGACAGAGGACTGGTATTCATACACCAGCAAGCTGTAATTGGTCACATCATCAGAAGCAAACTCTCCCAGTCTAATTTATCGATGCAAAAGGTTTTACTTATGAAGATCAAGGATTTCTATTTGTTGGTGTGCATGTGGATTAGCGCAACGACATATAGTAGCAGAAATAAATAACATAACATAAATCAATATAGTATTAATAAACGCTAAACTAACCATAGGTGGGTAATTCAAGGTCCAGAGAGTAAAAATCCAGACTAAGATTTTGTTTCAACCAACATAAAGAGTCAGTCACAGAGTACTCAGCTGGTCGGTTGAAACAAAATCTTGGTCTGGATCTTTACATTCTGGACCTGAACAGCCCTGCACATGTTACACTGTTATGTAGTAGGCAGAGCCAATTGTGACAATCTGTTCCTGGCCGGTCAGGCTCATCTCGGGGCTTTTAAATACATCCTACTTGCTGTCCAGTGATAACCCCTCCAGGCTTACCTGTATCTTTCATTTCCTTGCCAGGCGTTTCTCGTTTGGGGGGCGTTTTGTTCTGGAACAGACGTGTAGCTGGCCTCCGAATCTGATCCTGATTGACATGCACAAACATTCAGGTTCAGTTCAGTATACAGTATACAGTAGTGCCCCGGATGGATGTAAACACTGGGGTAACTGCTCTGCGAAAGGTGCCATGCAAAAACGAACTACACTGAAAATGTAGTTAGCAGTATTCAGCCCCGAACCCCCCCCCAACCTGACGTTTTGAGCACTTTCCGCAGACTCACTCTTGGGCACCGGTGAGTCCCTCATTGGTGGATCAATCCACCGTGGCTGGTCTGCAGGGGGGGTCAGCGGAGAGCCCTCAGGAGCAGCCCTGCAAGAGTGAGGCAGTGTTAACGATAGGCCGGGGCTACGGCTCCGTGAAGGAGGGAGGCGCGACAGCCCCAGATCACGCCCACAATCTAGAGGAGACTGAACCATCCCCTTGCTGCACTACCTGTCGCGCTAAATGCCATGATCAAATGCACAGCAGAGGGGAGAGAGGCTAATCTACTAAACAGCGCCGCCCTGGTGGGGAGGAGCAAACAGCATTATCATTAAGGTCAACCTAATCAACGAAGGTAAATGAACTTATAAAATCTAAATGATTCACCATTTTTCCAAGTGGATATTATAGACTTTGTATTAAATATAAATCTGCAGCTAAAATGTTCAATCTTCTGTGTCTAATCTGATTCAGGCATGGGGGTGGTTTGAGAATCTCATTTAAAAAAAATCACAATGGATGGCACATTGGTGTTTAAGAGAGCCTGGCACAGTGAGGGTAAAAGAGCATAAATATGCCCTCCGCCCCTTCTCATCTCTATGGCACGTTGAGATCGAGGCACCAGACCGACCCAAATACGGAGGAACATGTTTGGTGTGTTTAGTCAGGTTTTATTAGAATACAAAACGAAAGAAACAGAAAAACAGAACAGGCTATTATCAGTTAAAAAGCAATACAAAAAGACAAAAGTATCTATAAAACAAAAACAGAAAATGTACAATAGCGTAATACAAAAAACTGACTTTCAGATCCACAAGGATAAAATAAATGTGATAAGAAAATAACAGAAAAACATGTCAGAGTGAATCCAGCAGAAGTTTGGCAAACGCGGCTTTTCCCGGTGCTGGGGCTCTTGCCAATGCTCCGTCCTCGGACGGCAGTTTCGGGTGTGGCTGCGGACCCTCATCTGTACCTGTATCGGTTCCTGGAGTCCGGGCTGGGTGGGGTGCCCTGCCTGCGGGGGGGGCTGGAGCTGCTGTCGGACTCCGTGTCATCTGGGGGAGAGGTGAGATTAAGCGGTGGTGGTGGTGTGATGTGCTGGCCTGGACCAGACCTGGACCAGCTGTCCAGCCCAGCACAAGCCCACTCTGGCCTTGGTTACACTTCAAACAAAGTGCATGCTAATGCAATGCCACTATGTAATCCGATAACACATTTCACGCAACTACAGATTTCATTTCAAATAGTCCTAAGTATAATTATGGCAATCTTATGCTTTTACACCCAGAGATTCTTATGCTCATACTGCATAAAATCATGCATGATTTTAGTTTTAAGCTGAGAAGTCCAGGGGTGTAAACCTTATAGTGTGGGGGGGCTGGGTTTGGACCGGGTTGTAAAATTCTGGGATTTTTCCCATTAATTCTCATATATTCCCATTTATTCCACTGGAAAGTTTTAAACTTGGAATATTTCCAAAATTCCCCACCTTAACTTTCCATGGAATGGAAAGTTTGTGGAATGTTTATGGAGATTTTCCACCACTTTGCAACCCTAGTTAGCAACCATCTCATTTTTAGTGAAGGAGTTTTTTTTACTCAGTTTTGAAATGTACCTTTAGGTGAGGACCTCATAGAGGAGAGGCTGACAGGGGTAGGCCGCAGAGAGACACCAGGGTGGGAAATATCAGGGAGGACCCTGTGTGAGGAATGGGGGAGGGCTGTTAGCACATTGGACATACCTGGTGTCACACACCCCTTCTCTAGCTGCCCAAGTACCTGTATCTTTTTGGATCGTCCATCCTAGGGCTGCTCCGTCTGGGAGGGGGTGAGGCACTCCGGTCTGAGTCTGACTCTGAGACTTCTACAAAAGAAAAAGAAATTAAAAAAATTTAAAATGCGACTGTAGAAGAACTCGTTCTGGAGTGTGCCCCAAGCCCCTAGAGGGGTGATTATCGTGCGCCTGGGAACAAAGGCCGTGTGTGCAAGGATGGTGAGAATGGCGCAATGTCTGGTATCTGATACCTTTACGCGGCCTGGAGGAAGAGGAGGCGGCATGGGGAGGTGCCCAGACAGCGGGTTTCAGGCTGTAGGAGACAGGGGCGGTGTGTGGGTTGGGCACGGGGATGCCAGACAAGGTCCTGCAGGAAGACGGAGTGTGAAGGATGAAATGGCAAAGAGAAAAAGACAAGAGTTGAGTCTGCCATGTGACTGACAAGCAGGACAATCGCATCACCTGTACTTTGGGTCTGTGGGGTCTCGTCGGGGGGGTGGTGAGGCACTCCGGTCTGATTCAGAGTCCGACGGCACTGGAGCAGAAACAGAGACGCCCATCCGAATTCATCCCTCTCTGCTTTAAAACATGGGACTGCCCGGTGGACTTCCCGTCCAAATCCGGGTGTCTGGACCCAAGCAGAGTCGACCGTTTCAATCTACTGTCCTCTACTAATCCCCAGCCACCTCCAGGGAGCTCAGCTAGAGACTGAAGAGGACGTCTGAAATTCACAGCTTAGACAGATTTGAAGGGACTGTGTGGCATAACAATTACACCACAGATGCAGAAAGGAAGTGGAAGAGGACAACAGGAAGTGAGGAAAGTAAACCACTGTAGCTCATAACAGGCTACTGAAAACAGTGTCAGGGAGTCGCCTTTTTGGCATGCGGGGCATTTCCCAGCATTCCCCAGATGTCATGAAGCCTTTCAGTAAAAGCCACTATATTAAAAATTTTTGAGAGCCCCCAGTCCAAGGTCAAACAGCTGCTTCAACAGCTAAGGCACTCACCTCGTCGGGTAGGCAGGGCCTGTGCGGGGGGCCTGGTTACGGTGGACCGTATGGGCGGGGAGTCACGGATCTTGGGGGCAGCTTCAGCACGAGACCTAAGAGAATGAGAAGGTAGCTGGGTGCATGGGGAGTCTGGCTGACCCCGCAATACTCAAATTTGTTCACAAGGGCCTACCTGCGCATACGTCGCTCTCGGGCTTCTGAGCGGGATATCCGGCCCCTGGTCGAGGGGATGTCTAGATCCGAAATATCTGATAAGGAAAGGACACCCACACACCATAAGCGGGAACCCTAAGAGGAAGAGTCATTGAAGCATCATGCCGTCTCTCGAGTGACCCCGAGCAGGTCAGTCACATGACCACTCTCACCCTCCAGCTCCGAGCTGCTGTCATCACGCCTGTCATCGTCGTCGCTGTTGGTGGGACTGTCATCCACCTCAGGGATGTTGACCAGGAACTGCCTCTGGTCTCTCAGCACCAGCATGGTGAGCTTCCCTTTGGATTTCTCCACTAAATGTTTAGTTTCCAACAGCGAGAGGTTCTCTGTGGTCATCCCATTGATCTGCAGAGGACAGAGTGTTTGAGGGTCATGCCGCACAGGCAGGGACGAGACTTTGAGGAGCATCCCTGCATCAGCTCTAGGTATCGCTCCCTCCTCAAAACTAAAGATCCAAATCATAATACAGCCTCAGCTAAGTGTCCATGGAGTTCTCTCCCCAGGATCGTGAGATGTTTACCAACCTCACACGGAAAACCTTCCTTTGTGTGTGACTGTGCAAATATCCCATAATGAACTGCCACCTTACCTGGGTTGCGTCCTACCCTGTTGACTGTGTCAATACTCAATGGGTAATGATCCGATTCCCTACTACTGCTCTTTGCGTGTGGAATTTGCGTGTTCTCCTAACGTTCTGTAGCGTTCCCCTAGGTACTCTGGGTTCCTCACACTCTCCACAGGCATGCAGTTAGACGAACTAGCATCCCTAAATGGTCCATGACTGTGTGTGCACCCCATGATGAACTGGTTTTCCATGTAGACCGTTGGAATGTATTCCTGCACTGGATCAGCAGTTGGAAGATGGGCAATGGGACTCTTGCCTTGAGGACGAGGTCTCCTTCCTGCAATGTGCCCTCCTTAGCTGCCAAGCCCGTGTCGGTCATGTGCTTGATGAAAATCTGGCTCCCCAACTTTAGGCCGTACTCTGCGAGAGACGGGGAGATCATTCAGCATCAAAGAAATTGGCATCAGAATTGTCACACATCCTTCGTCGCCATGGCCCTAGCCGCGCCGCCCCCCCCCACTCACCATCATTGGGCTTCTTCTTCAGCAGTGTGGCCTTTATGGGCTTGTCGGACCCCTCCTGGGTCGGCAGCCGCTTGAAGCCCGACATCAGGGCCAGGGGGTGACCGTTGGGCTCGGGGGTGTGGCTGCGTGCCCTGCGCCCCCGTAGGCCATAGCCTGGCTCGCTGCCAGAGTCGGAGCCGGGTCGCTGCCCCCTGTTTGCAGACGGACCATCCAGCAGGTTGGAATGGGAGGCGGAACGGTTCGGCCTGTTGGTCAGTGGGACCTGGATTTTCCGGGGCCTTTTCACGGTCTAAAGTGCGACAAAATGGATCCAGGTTTAAATTTCATGGTCCCTTTCCCCAGAACTACACCGCTTTCCGGCTGCGACGTGGTTTTGCTCCATTGTGTGTACGTCCTCAGCCCCCACCAGAAGCGGTTCAGAAGCAGAGCGCTTTGCAGGGTGGCTGGGGAAACTCATGAATATTCATGAGGACAAGTGTAACCTGATTGGCAGAGTGAGCTATCGTCAGAAGCGTCCCAGAAGCAGCACCCGGCAAATTCACTGGTGTCCGGAGAGCCGCTTCTGGGACGCTGCTGATGAAATCATGAGGAAGGACATCAGCCACGGCAACCTCATCGCGGCTGGAATGTGGTGGAACCCCCCCCCCCCCTCGGTGGAATTGTGGGATTAGAGTGGTGCTTCCCAAACTTCTCCTTAAATACTCCCAGCAAATCCAAATTTCAGCTCTGATCCACCAGTCGGTGTCTTAACATCGTGTTTCTCAAGGCAGTCAAACAATCAAAAACAAACCAAGAGATCAAGAATACCAAATACCTGGTGCGGGGTGATTGGAGATTGAGAGGGAGCAAAAATATGTAGTGCCGGGGGGGGGGGGGGGGGTGTCCCTGAGGACTCTGTTGAGAAACTTTTTTATCTAATCAGCTAATCCTCAGACTAATCACGGGGCTAGAAGGTGAAATTCACCTTACGTTCAAACCTGAAGCTCTCACGCAGGACAGAAAGCAAAAGCTGAGTATGTTCAGATGGAAGACGTAAACGACCCCAAAACACAGGCTGAGCAGAGAGAAATGTTCAGCTAACAAATAACTACCTCATTTCTGACTCATCTGCTATTATACTGGCACTTTTCTGATGTAATGGTTTCACAACAAATATGTGGCGCAGGGATGTACAATTTACACAAGTAAAAATCCGTAAACAAGGCAGGTGCAGGTGCCAGCAGCAGGCCTGCAGGCCTGCAGCCCCACTGGAGGGCAGGCACCACAACACTCACGATGTTGGCAGTTTTTCCGCAGCCCTTTAGGTGCTGAATAGTGAAGTTGGAGGAGACGTTCTCCATCGAAACGCCATTGACCATGACGACCTGGTCCCTCGTGCTGTGGGGGGAGTGGGGGACAGAAGGCACCAGTCAGTGGGTGTAGGGTTACAGCCCCTCTTGGAGGGGGCGGGATCGGCATTTGTGTGGAAAAACACACGTGATTAACATTACAATTAACGCTCGGGGTACGGAACGGCCCACTCGGTTTCAGTTGCGTTGTTGGTTCTAGATAAGGAGTCAGAGAAAGAGTTGTACAAAAAAATGACTTCTCTCTGTACACAGCAAAGGTACACAGACAGAGATTGTGAGAGTACGTGCAGACCAGCCCTGTAAACGCAGAGGGACGTGACTCACTGCAGTCTCCCCGCAGCCGGTCCATTGCGCACCACGTCCGAGATCACCACCGCCGTGTCCCCCGTGTCTGGGTTTGGCTTATCCCGCCCCCCGGATATCGCCAAACCGAAGCCCACCTTCGAATCCTGCAGGGGGTGGGGGTGGGGGGGGACAGCGGAGAGCAAGCAAGCGGCAGTGAGCGAGAGTGCATTCCTTCACCTGCCCGTGGTGTCACATGACCTGAAAGGGCCACAACTTCTGCTATCTCATTTCCTGATAGGATTCCATTCCAAAAAAAAAAGAAAGAAAGAAAAACGGAGAGAATTTTTCACATTTTCTTACGACTCCCAGGAAACTTTGTGCTTCTTCCAAAGCTCAAGAATTTGCATCAGCTTCCATAAAAACTGATCCAGTACCGATAAGAGAAGTCGTCACGCCGGCTGAGCGAGAGAGACCTACCTTGTTCAGCGTCACCGTATACTGCTCCCAGATGGTCATTTCCTCCATGTCTGCTTCCTAAAACGAACACAGGTCACAAAAACCATAAAGTCAACAATGAGCAGCCGAATGACCAGCTCTCAAAAAGTCATGTTGAAACGGCGACATAAATCTCGAACCCGGAGTATTGGCGGCGAGCAACAATCCTACGGCGGCAGGGGGAGTGTCGGGCGAAACCTGCACCTGCGTATTAGCGGCGTGAGGAGCCAGGAGGACTGACTGGATGGGATTGTCCTATGACATGTTCTCGCCTGCACCATTCCTGTCACTGAGATTGGGGGGGAGGAGTCTTGGCTATAAATTCCTTTTACTCCTCCTAGGCTCTCAAGACCTACATGGTAGTTGGTCAGCCGGAATATACCGCGCAAACATGGAGACCAGCCCAAGCTGATGCCTCTGCTTGGAGCCCGGCAAATACTACTATTAAGCGGTTTGACGCTTTATCAGGTCCGGAACCCTTTTTGACAAACGCTGCACAGACATCCTGGCAGATAAGCAGATCTCTTTCCGCAAAACTCGTTCGGCGAGATAGGCCACCACGTAGGTCCTGTGCAACCCTCAGAAATTTCCACATACAGAAACAGTGACATGGAGCGAGATAAACGAAAATGGACTCAAACAACAAGGTTACAAGGAGGGGGAAAAAATACAGGCTGATCTCACTTTAGAATGCATACAATAACTGCCACCATTGGTACATAACTGCCACCATTGGTGGCAGTTATGTACAACTGCTCACAGACTACTCTACTGAGCTAGAAAATGGGTCAGGGGTCACGATACACTCAGTCAGCCACACCTCAGGTGGAAAACACAGCTCACAGCTGCTGCTTTACATTGCATCCTACTGAGTGCAGCCCAACTTTACCGGAACAGTGGAAACATGCTGAATTAGCCAATCAGATCAGATGCTCCTTAGTCTCTTGGTTTTCCATTTCCAAGTACGGTTTCATATGACAATTTCCATACGATAATAATCTGAGCGTAAATACACAAGAAAGCTCAAAATAAAACCTATTGACCTACAGAAAGCTGCATCAGGCAACTACATCCACAGAAACGTCTATGACATTGTCTTAGTAAGATGTCCTGTAGTCATCTGGTGGCACAAAACATTGTGTTTCATACTTTGGAATGAAATATCACTTGAGGAATCTGATTTTAACATTCTACAACCTTTTAAACAAACTATTCTTATTTATTCCTAACTTATCTTGTGCAAAGTTTTTGGTATGCAGCTTGTGGAATAAGCATATCTACAGCTGAAGTCCGAACACTTTGCCGTCATGAGCAAATTTGATTTTGGTGTCACGCAACTCGACTGTCATAGGGAGACGTTGGTCTCCTGTCGGCCACTGAGCGTGGCATGAGGGTCCATGAAGATCAGTCAGCAGGGCAGGGAGAAAAGCGGCTGCAGGTACAGCCCTGGGTGGGAAAATGCTGCTTTTTGTGTAAATAAATGTTTGAACTTAGTTGCGTAAGGGAGCAACACAAAACTGCAGCAGGTCGCACTGTTGTCTCAAACCTCCAGGGTTGGAGGTATGAATGCAGGTTCTCCAAAGTGCAGTGCAAGATCCCTCCTGGCACTGCGATTTCCCAAGACCTGCAGTCAGGCAAAATGGCACCTTCAAATTGTGCGCATGTGAGAAAAACCTGTTATTCTGACCTTGTGGGGACTGCATTTTTTTTGTACCCACAAGGGAAAACTCAATTCTATAAAAATCAGTGATTACAATCAAAAAATTAAAAATGGCAAAAGATTTGTGCTTTGTTTGGTTAGTTATCGTTAAAGTTAGGGCTCAGTAGAGGTTGTCATTGTTGGGATTAGGAATTTGCTCACAGAAATGAATTGACAGTCTCCTGAAAGACATGAATACATATGAGCACGTGTGTGTTTCCGCCCAAGAAAGACCTGGTACTGGTACCATTCAAGGTGCCCCCTGCCTTGTGCCCTGTCCTGCCCGAACAGGCTCTCACGGCCCGATCCCGAATATCCCGTTGGAAGATGGATGGATGATTGTAAGGCAACTTCAAGGCTTCTAAACTGTTGATAAGTCCCAGAGACCCAAGTGCAGTGACAAAAGGAGGTAGGTAGCCAGTAAAATTACCGGTTTGAACCACCCCACGACCCTGAATGGTCACCAAAATCTGCCACCAGTCAGACTAAATCTAACCAAGGCAGAGTAATGCCAGGCACCCCGCTGAGCCCCCTCAGGACAGCCCCCGCCCCCCCCAATCTGACAGGTAAGCGCAGGACGGATCCGCCCTCTCACACTCCAGAGGATACGGCCTGGAACAGCATGAGACAGGTTCAGCTACCCAGACACACCCTTCAGCCTGTTTAACCTGGGACTTCATACACTTTAGATAAAAAGCTAGTTAACGAGTCAACAAGAAGCTAAACTATGCCAAAAATTCAGGGGGGGCAGTAAAGGGGAATTTTCAGAGTCTTTCACATGGCACAACCTTGAAGCTCCAAAAATAAATTAATTAAATTTACTAACATTTAGACCTGTAGAGGAGAACAAAAGTAATGTAAGCAGAGGTGGAGATTTCAGGTCCAGAAAGTAAAAATCCAGACCAAGATTTTGTTTCAGCCAACCAGCTGAGTACTCTGTGACTCTTTATACTTAACCGGTTGGCTGAAACGAAATCTTGGTCTGTATTTTTACTTTCTGGACCTGAAATCTCCACCTCTGAATACAACAGCTAAACCAAAACCACAGAGCAATAAAAAGCAGGAAATGGAATAGTCTACCTTTCACGGGGCCTGATTTAATGTGCTTCACGAAACACCATAACAATGTCAGGTACATCCAAGAGAAATACAGCAGACATTTACCTGTCGAACAGGATATGGGAGCAACCTGCCAAATACTATGCAAATGGGATCCCTGTGTTCACTTCTAGGAATGCTGTTTGTTTAAAGACCAGAGCAGAGCGGTCAGCGACTGAGAGGATGGAAAGGGGGAGGTGTCGAGTGACAATGATTCTCAGGGCTTATCTGGAGTCCACCCTCCCGCGTGTTTATAAAATCGGCAGGTTCCAGTTTGTCGCTGTTTCAAGCCAGCCAGATCGCAATACCCTCTCCTGTCCCGAGAGCCTTAAATGGCAGATTGTTCAGCAGCTGGACCGGAAGACACATTGACAAGTTGTCAATTAATAAGAACAATATTATTTTTATTATACACACAGACATACAGTACTATGCAAAAGTCTATGCAAAGAACGTGAAGTTTAAATGATCTAAACTTGTCTATGATCATTTGTCTATGTCTGTCAGCTTCTACCCCTCACCCAAAGCCCCCGCAGGGTTGGCAGCGACCATCCAGCATACCCAAGTATCTTTTGCCTTGACCACTACCCCTGTTTGGCTAATCATTACATCACTGAGTTATTTTACTAATTAAGTTAATCAATTGAGGTGTTGAAATTTAAATATCGTCATCAACTGCTTATTTAGATTAAAAATCTTGGGACAGAATCAATCCTGTACAAATCGCTTATAGTAATCAAGCAGTCCAGTTACAGTGTTCGTTTTGGGGGGGTTTTTTTATACATGACAACACATGGAGAAAAGTACAACTGGGGCATTTTTGTTTTTTTCTACTTGCCTACTTTGCCGTGGGGTAACCTGTCTGCTTCTGGCCAGCTACCTGAGGCCAATGCTGAGCGCACAGAAAGCATGACGGGAAAGAGTGTCATTTTCTCTCAATGACAAATATAGACTCATCAAAACTGATGATAAACTGCCAAAAATTAGCGAACGAGATGCAGCAGCGAAACCACAATAAGCTACATTTTATGTACAGTAATGTATTATAGCGTTTTTGAATTATACACAGTAAATTATATTTGTACAGTAACTGTAATTTGAAAAGCGTTTGAAACAGCCGTACTTTCGTTCTTAAAGAGTCAAAATTCAGTAAATAGCAACTCTGTTTTATTACCTTATATGTATGTAATTAATGTACAAATGTCAATTAAATGGCAATCTGTAAATTGAAGCAGCAGAGAGGCTTCAACGGGATCTGGATTTAATTAGCGAATGGGCTGATACTTGGCAGATGAAATTTAACACAGATAAATGTAAGGTAATCCATGCAGGGAGCAGAAATATACAGTACAGATATTTTATGGGTTCCACTGAAATAAAGGTAGCTGATTACGAGAAAGATCTCGGTATGTATGTTGATGCTTCCATGTCCCACTCTCGCCAATGTGGGGAAGCAACAAAAAAGGCGAACAGAATGTTGGGTTATATCTCTAGATGTGTGGAGTTTAAGTCAAGGGAGGTGATGTTACACTTATATAATTCCTTGGTAAGACCCCACCTAGAATACTGTGTGCAGGTTTGGTCACCATACCTCAAGAAGGACATTGCTGCCTTAGAAAAGGTGCAACGAAGAGCTACGAGAATGATTCCTGGTCTTAGAGGAATGTCTTACGAGGAGAGGTTAGCGGAACTGAATCTGTTCAGCCTTGAGCAAAGGAGACTAAGGGGGGATATGATTCAGGTCTATAAGATTCTAACGGGTCTGGATGCTGTTCAGCCAAATGACTATTTCAATATTAGTCTAAATACTAGAACTCGTGGCCATAAGTGGAAATTAGCGGGAGAACATTTTAAAACAAATTTGAGGAAGCACTTCTTTACACAGCGTGTAGTCAGAGTATGGAATAGTCTTCCTGCTATTGTAGTGGAAGCTAAAACCATGGGTTCCTTTAAATCAGAGCTAGATAAGATTTTAACAACTCTGAGATATTAGCTAAGTTCTCCCCAAACGAGCTTGATGGGCCGAATGGCCTCCTCTCGTTTGTAAATTTCTTATGTTCTTATGTTCTTATGCCTGAGACAAAGAAAAGGAAAAAAATCGGTTATAATGATCATCCGCTTGTACTGATCAATTTCACCCAGTCAGACATGGTCAATACAAACATGGAATGGCTGAGGTGCCCCTGAGGAGAGGTTTGGGAACGGAAGCGCTGTTCATCTAGCCATCCAGCAAGGTATCAGTAACTTTTTAGAGAACATACGATATTTGCATCTTTATTGTGTTAGTTCATTTTCAATTAATTATTCTAATGTTAAGTATTTTTATAAGCAAATATACACTTACTACAATGATAAATAGATTTCTTGATAGGTGTTCCGTAGCTAAGAATTCTGCACAGTGCAGGATATACAGGGGAGAGATTTGGGGATGTGGCACAGGGTCAGTCAGGGTACTGTGGCCCAGGAATGGGGGGGTCAAGGGCCTCGCTCCAGGGCCCAAAAGCAAGGTCACTCCTCCAGGCCAAAAATTCCCCCGTTTTTCCCACCAACCACCTGACCACTTTTGTGAGTTAATCATAAACAAACATTACTACCCTACCCTAGACAGAGGGGGGGAAAAAAAAGCGAAGAGGAATTCATAAAGAGATTATATTGGTACTACAGTGTAAAAACAGCATGTTAAAACACAAAAAAAAACT